ATTGCATTTGGTGGCATTAGAGAACATTAAATTTGTAAATTATAAAAATAAGCAGCCATAGGTAAAATTAGAGCAGGGTTTTGAATATTGGTAATTTCTTTTAATTAGACTTGATGGAGATGATGTTCAGCAAGGTGTAGCAGATAGAACGTTATCAAAAGCAAGAGACTATATCCAAAACATTTCCCACAAATACACGTGTTGTACTGTAGAATTAAAATAAAAGGAAACCTGAATCAAAAAGACAACTGTATTTTCTTGTTACTATTAAAGAATAGCATTAGGGACAGATAATCTCAAAGGCAGGTGTTAAAACCTCTAAATGACCTTTGCCACAGGCAGTACATGAGTATCACAGGAATGCTAGGCTTATTGTTACCCTACAAAGGTGCTACGCATAAGTTTCAAACTGCATTCCCTTTCCGTATAGCAAGGCTATATTGTAGCCACAACATGTGTCAGGGATGTGACAAGTGTCCCTCCAACTACTATAGAAGAGTTTGTTGAACAAGGTAAAAATGGAGTTTGCCAGCAATAAACCTCTAATTCTGAGATGTTTCCCATCAATACCATTTAGAAGTGTGATCTACATACCATAATATAGCAGCCTAAAAATGATAACACTACTAAAAACTGTGCAAAAGATGCTGTGATGTTCCCGGAAGCAGTGAAATAAAGTGTATTCAGCACAAAGTGGCAACAGTTTAGAGAATCTGTAGAGTAGGTACTGTATTATATCTGTCACAGCTTTGGGGTGGTATTTTCAACTTAAATTGAGCAATGCTGCTCAGTTGACAGTAAGGCTTTTGTCATCAGAACAGGAAAGGAAGCAATTTGTAGTGATTCCCCCAATCTGCTGCTGCAGTCCCTTTGCCCTTCCTAAACCTGCTCCAAAGAGTTGGGAAACCCTCCTTATCACCAGCTGATTGACACTGCTGGATACAACTAATGGAGTTTCATTGGCAAAATGATGCTGTTTGTGGGTCTGCAGCCTATTCAGAAAATTGTGCAACTATTCCTTACTCTGGCTCAAGCCAATGAGGAAATTAGTTTTATTTGTTCTGATTCAATCCCAGCCATGCTTATTAATTCTTTGCTGCCCTTGATTTACATATTCAAATTTGAAATTTATTATCCAACACAAACTAGATTAAGCAATTCAAATTAATCCCATGACAGCAATCACTTCATTACTGTGTGGCTAGAGTTGTTGTAATCAAAATTCATTCACAATATCTATTTGGTTCACTTCCAGAAGTGGTAAAGGTTATGCAGATCTCTGGGTAAGACACGACATGGAGAAACTAAACCATGGATTAAGACAGAGAAAATGAGTTGGTTAATAGTAAGCCAACATGCTAATTTAAAGCTTCATTAGTAAACTAAAGGGTTTCTAATCACTGTTGGATCAGATGTTTGGCAAAGTGACAACTCCAGAAAATAGTTTTTTCAGTCACTGCATTAAAAAACACACATAGGCAACCTCCTGTGCTTTCCACAATTACCTTCTAGTCTGACCTATATCTCGACTGCATTTGTACAACATGGAAAGAAATACAAATGCATTTCAACACAAAATAGTTTGAACATTAGCATACATATGCCATAAGTAAGAGAAATGTATAACAGCATTTTGACAACATTCTTTTTAAGTCAATGCATAGGATAGGAATTATTTTGTCCCTGACAGCAAAGCATGAAAATACATCTTTGGGATATGCCTCTCCCTACATGCAAGGGGAACTGTTTTTCTAATACTGATGCTCTGGGCATGTTTATAAAGGTTTTCCTCCAGGGCTCTTCTAGAAGCATCATGACCGTGGATTTAGCATAAAATATAAAAACTGAATATTGCAAGCAGTTTAAACAAGTCATAAATAAAGGAATGCCTTTTTAAGCTGAACTTTAGAAACCAAATGGTTATATGACATTAAATGCCTCACAAAAATGTAAGAATGAGCATGAAGAATTCATAACTTTGTTGTTTCAAGGCAGGTTATCACAAAGTGATGTACCTCTGTATCAACAAAAATTATTTACCTTCACGATAAATTATTCCCTGGAAGCACTTATGTACCATCTCAAAAGGGGGCATGTCATGTAGACCAGTTTTCCCAAACTGGTGTCCTCCAGAAGTTTGGGATAATTTCCAACAGTCCCAGCCAGCATAACTCGCCATCATGGATGAAGGGAGCCATAGTCCAGACATCTGATGGACACCAGGTTGGGGAAGACTGATGTAGATGTTTCAACTACACTCTATGAGGATAATTTGTTAGCTGAAATTAACTCTATAAAATTTGGTAACATGTGAAGACCAGAACACAGACACTTAGATTGCAGCCTCAGGGAAGGGTTGAGAGTCCCAGCAGCTTCTCATAGACATGGGAGAGGGCAAGAGAAAAGAGCTGACAAGGCAAGGGCAAAGAGAAAATTAATTTTCTTTGCTTGTATCATATTGATCTATTATCATCACTCGCTGCCCAGTGTCACAAGGAACAATTTCAACACGAAAGCCTGCTGATGGAAAGATGTGGGGAAAAGATGAAAAATCAAAATCATGAATACACATCTCACTTGGCCATCAGATACATAGCTCCCCTGATTCATTCCATTTCATTCTGAAATTTAAAAGTGAAGCGACAAAGCTGATATTGAACACTGAGTTGCTGAGCAACCACCAACCCTTCAGTCCTGAACTGAGGCATGAAGAATATTCAGCTTTGTGCATGCCAGGAAATGGGAGCAGCAAGGCCAAGGGTATTTAATTCAGGCACGCAACTGAAGGAGTACTGCATTGTCTGTGGTCCATAATGTTACAAATGCAAATGAGAGAGTTAAGGATATAGAAGCATATGTATATATATATATATATTTATATTTATAAATATTTATAATATATAATTTACCATGAGAACATGCAATTATTGGTATAGCACCTATCATACAATATAATACAATATAATAGGTCTTATAAATCATATAGTTTCTCAAGAAACAGCAGGTATGCTCTCCCTACTGCATTCCTCTGTAGTGTTTGAAACCTGAATGAGGCTAAGGTTTCACACTGTGCTACATTACTTATGGGAAACAATATACACATTTAAGAGTAAAAAAATTCCAACACATTCTGACAGAACCAGAGAAATTCAGTGCAGCTTCAATGCAGCATTAGAAATGTCTTAGCTCAGAGAGAAAATATTCCCTTTTCCATCCAAAGATACTATTTTGGCAGCAAACGAAGTTAAATAAAACAAAGTTAAATTAAAAATAATTTATGCTGGCTACAGGCATATGACTATAGCAAGCAGATCAGTAATTTCCAAATTTACCCACACATCCAGTATCCCCTACAACAGGAACCTTTTTGGAGAGCTAGTTGTATCCCTTTTAAAACATCCCTATGTGATCCACCATTGATTTCTAAATCTAGCAAAACAAGTCATTCTTCTAATAGTCATAAAATGATACCCATATAAAGTTTGGGAAAACTAAAAGCCACTGATCTTATTCAGAGGGAATGGAAGACAATCCTTAAACATGAGTTTTCAGTATGTTGTTTTCCAAATTATAATGTCCCTAAACACAAGAATATGTCTGAGTAAGGAACTATGTATATTTGTACTGCAGGAAGCCACAGAGGTGCGGGCTTCCACCCAAACCCCAATAAACATGTATGATTACCTGGTTCAGATTTTGGTAGCAACATCTGCAAATTGGACAGACGTGCTCTTGACATACAATATAGGTTTAGGGATGTTGACATGTGAGAAATAGTGTTGTAGGTTTTACTATGAAGTATTATTTTTCAGATTCTTAAGAAAAGAAAGGAATTGCTGCTTCTTTCTAACCTATTACATATGAAGGCTCTGCAGTGTCCTTTTAGTAGGTGGTGAAAGCTTCATTTTTCTTCCAGATTTAGATTACATTCTCAAGTAAGAAGTTTAAGTGTGTAAACATTTTTGCTCTTCCTCAGTACAGTTACACTGAGAGGAACACTGTAAATAAGGTAGGTAAATGGACTAAACATCTCACCCCAATGGGTAAATTCTGATCAGCTTTAACAGTGGCTCTCCTTTGTACCCTGAGAGACGATTGCACAAACAAATGTTTTAATTATAGGAATGCTCCAGGGTCCAAACTCTTCTGCTTTTCCTTCTTAACTCAGACTGTGAGCATCAATCTCCAGATCCTTCATATATGATATGATGTAAACCTGCCATAACTCCAGAAATTCACACACAGATAAATGATCAAGTTGTCCAAGAATCAGGATCTGAACAGCAGTTAATAGAATGTTACCAATCTGAAAATATAGGTAAATTTACATAAATGTTAAATTACATTGGTTTCAGTGGATTTGTACACATTTACTGCATATAAGAATGTAGCCCACATTAAATATACAGTGGTACAAGATGCTGAGTTTTTCTGTTTTTGCTTTAAAAGGAGGGAAGTAGAAACCAACAAGGAACATGGGCAGTGAGCAACTTGAAAACAGATGTGTGAAGCCCAACACTGATAGAAACTTACAGGAGTATTGCTGTTTCAAATAATGTGCTTTTTAAAAACTCTACAGACACACACAGCTGAGTAGTACCTCAGATGTAATAGTGCCAAGGTGAAATTAATTTCAGGTTTCAGGTTTGATAACTGTGAAAGAGCCTAAAACAGGTCATGCTTTTATATTAAATAAAAAGTAAACTAAAATCTTATTAAAAACACTCACCTCCAAGACACTGTTCTGTTTCACACATCTTGGACTTTCCAGATGCTCCATCCCTGCCCTCTAGCCTCCCTGATCTGCTTGCTGCATGTTCTTAGGAAATGCCTGGCCACTCATATACAAAGTGGACCTTATAAATATTTCATCTTAATTTTTGTTTCCTTTGAAAGTCAGGATGAACACTGATTTTTGAAGACTTTTGTTTAAATACACAGTACACAAACACAACATGCATCGGATTAAGGGGCTTTGACACCAGACACAGACTCAGTTCCTATCTGCTAAGTTTACTGGCTGATTTGCTCTTCCCTGTGGGAGACTTAACGTTAGAGGAATGGTGGCAGGAGCCACTAGATCCTTTCAACCCATTCTTGTTAGACTTGTTGTAGCAGTGCTCTTGTTGGCAGGATCTCCTGGAAGATGAAGAGCCTGAAAGACTGGGAGGCGATTTACTCCTTCCAAGATGTGGGGATGAGCTCCTCTGCTCATGGTGAGGACGCCCACCCCGGGATGGTGAGGAGCTGGTAGTACGAGGCAAAGAAGAGCTCCTAGGGGAGGCACTGGGACTGCGTCTGGGGACGACTGGGCTTTTGGGTGGTGTTTTGGGGCTATGTGGAGACCCTGGACTCTTACACTGAGAAGAGCTTCGTGGTTTCTGAGATCCATTCTGAAGAATTTGAGCCAGGCGAGAGATCAGGTCTGAATCAGAGCTGCTACTTCCTAGTACTTTGTACCTGCGCAACCTTTAAGAGAAAGAGAAGTTGATTAGTACCATTTCCTCCTTCTCCAGTGCCATGAGAAGGTCTAGGTAGGCTCATACTCTTTGATCTAAGAACAGAGGCACTTCTCTGTGTGCCCCTCTAGCAAAAGTCCAAAGGGTGGAGTTATTTTCAGCGGCAGTTCCCCATCCATAGAATGTTCTTTGCAGGGAAGCTCAGCTGGCCCTGGCATGAACAACCTTCTGCTGCCAGGTGAAATCCTCTCTTCCCACGTATTTAACCATTAATATCACTGTGGTTCCTGTGGAAATTTTAGCTATGTATTTCTTGGAGATCGTGCTTATGTTGTGTATGGGATGGAGTGATCTGATTAATTATAATTAGTAGATGGTCACTTTTAATGCTGTTGCTGTTTTAAATGTTGTATTGGTATGGATTTTTATTCTTATAGGTCACTTTGAGGTACTTTTGTGGAAAGCAATGAATGCATTAACTCTACAATAACTACTACTACAATGTGGCATCTTCACTACTTATTTCCAGGCCTGGCCTAATGTGCTACTGTAAAAGGACCAAGGCAAATCAAGAATTGCCTTATCCCACAGGAAGCTGTCCAAGTCCTGAAATCAACCTGAGGTCCCACTCTCTGTTCCATCATTGAGATGGGATGGGTGGATACAAGGAATATAGCTTTTTTAGTGATAACACCAAAGAGGAAAGACCTCCCTCATGTGATCCAGCAGGCTCCCTCTCTTCTTGCATCCAGGCAAAAACTCATTTGACAAGCACGAGAAACTGAACCTTTGGTGCCATCAGCCCAGTCCTGTGGAATACTCTGCAAATAGAGTATTCAATTCAGCAGGCAGCTTCTGCGCCAACTTTTAAATGCCTCCTGAAACTATTCCACAAGGCCTATGTGGGCGATTAAGAATACCTCCTTCCACAATGATTAACTGATGTATGCTTTTAGTTTTTAACTTTTTATGGTTTTTATTTCATAGTTTTTAAGTTTTATTGCTGTAAACTGATTTGATTTTTTTAAATGACATAGCAGTAAATAAATAAATTGAATAAATGATACATAGGAATAAGTATACTGCATGCATTCACTGTAAAATGCACCCTAAAAGCAACTTTTAAACTTCAGTAAGTGTGGCTACAAAGCCTATAAGAATGCAATCTGTATTCAGAAGCTGTACAAGTGCTGCACAGGACCATCAGGAGGTCTTGGCTATTGTTCCTCGCTGATAATGTTTTTGTGACTTGAAGGCAGCATGTTACAATTTCCTGCAGTACAAAACCCTGTTTAACGAGAATCCATAGCAGGACAAGAGGAAAAAGAGAGAGAGTGTAGCGCAAAAAGCAAGAGCTGTCTCATACCGTCTTCAAAGTCTCTGAAAAGCCATGATTCTCAGCCATAGTCTGCATTACCTTGTAAACACCACCTAGGAAAAGCTTTTGCTTGAAAGAAAAACTACAAATAAAAAATATTTTGTTTCCGCTTACATTCTGCTATTGTGTCCTTTAAATACTTAATAGTCAAAGGTCCAGCTTTAAGAAAAAGCATATGATCAGTTGTTGGTTGAGTGGTTGGTTGGTTTTGGGGTAAATCAGACAAGGAATGGTAACAGAAAAGGTCTTTTCTTAATGGCATTACCCAAAGATACATGATAAGGAGTGGTTTATATTAAGAGTCATAGCTTGATTTTCTTACTATCATATCCAGCTCACTTGGTGTGTACTCTTAGGTCTTTATAGGCAATCCAGGTTCACTTAAATCTAGAAGCAAAATGTTTTAGAAACCTAGTGTTTTAAATTAATATTGTATATAAATGTTGTTAATGTTCTTATTCAGGTAATTTTTTTCTGAATTTTGAAAGAGAAAAATATTCTGTATGTGTGTACGCACATAAGCTTGATTGCAGATATTTGTGGGTGGGTGGGGGAGAGTACTTAGTGCAATTTGCATGGTATCATACAAAGCCTTCCCAAAACTGCTCAAATCTGCTTCAAAAGTGTAGCTGTTTTTACTTACCTGGCTTCTACTCCAGGCCTTGTTGGTGGTCTTCCTGGTGGTGGACGAGGAAAAAACTGAGCTGAATTTGAACTGCTAACGTGATCTGTGGGAGTCCAAGATACGGGTCTTGGGATTTTGCTCTTTCTGGACTGAGGATTGCTTGGTGACAAAAAACTCTCCTCTACTTGGCTGTGCAAATGAGTGTCCAGTGTCAGTTTTGAAAAGGAGGACAACACATCTTCAGGAAGTGGTAATGGACCAGCAACTACTTTTTCTTTCAGTGACTTGTCAGAGGCACTTGAGAGGTCACCAAGGAAAGATTTGAGCTGTCTCTTTTCTACAAGTAATCTAACCAAGTCTGTCTGATGAGCCTTTTTTAGAAGCAGCTTCTCCTTTGCTGAAACAGGAGACGATTCTGATGAAGAGTCTACCTCTTGTGCTAAAACTGGAATGCGACTCTGTCTAGCCACAAATGCAGATCTAACTAACTCCTTCTTGGATGGATTAGAACTCTCATTCTCTGAACTGGAGTGCAGCAATTCTCCATTTCTCTGGACATTTTGCTCTTCTTTCCCCTCTTGGTTCAAAAAGGTGGCAAGGTTTACCTGTTGGCATTGCAATTCTTCAGCATGATCAATATCCCCATCATCATGGAAACCATTTTCTTGCACTGGTGCTACTTGGTTTTCCTGTTTTTGAGCAAATGGGTCAGTACTTCTTGATAAAGAAACATCTGATGTTTCGGCTGCTGACTGCTTCTGTAACTCCTGTTTTGCATCCTGATTTGGCAAGGAGGAGGAAGGAATTGGCCTCAGTTCTTCAGGTTCTGTAACAGCCAGAGGACCATCCAATACAGATTCAGTGTTTCCTTGAGCAGTTGAACATGGTCCTTCAATCTGTAGTTCAATATCATTTTCATAAGCCACAGGAAGCTGATTCTCTTCCACTTTTTCGAAGAGATTTTCTCCTTGTCTCTTCATGTATTGTTCAAGTAGGTCTGTTTGGCTATGATCTTGGATTCCAACACATTCTTCAATACACTCATCCTTTCCAATTGCCTCTAGGTTGTGGTCTAATTTGTGTACTACATCTGTTCTACTGCCACTAAGAGTTAGTGCATCGTTTGCCGCTGCCAAGCCAACCAAGTTCTCCTTAGGAGAGGAAAGTTCAACAGTATGTTCCAAAAGCCGAGGATCCCGGTCCTTCTTCTCTAGTTGCTGGCCAAAATGAAAACTCTCAGAAGCAGACTGTGTGGATGCCATTGAAGGTCTGGGTATTGTAACCTATACAGAAAACAGGAAGAAAGAAATGATATTACAGAAAAGATTTTTATTGGCTTTGAAATTACATATTGCCATATCATAGTTTCAGGTTCAAAAAGACAAGTAATAGATAACACAGCCCTATATTTTTGTATCTCTGTGTTGGGCCAACTGGTGCAATCTCTACTGGAAAAAAACTGGAAGACAACAGGAAAATTTTAAGCTAGGTTGTAAATTAGGGTTAACATGGCAATTCAATGTATGTTTGTGTGTGGTAACATTAACAGTCCTCATCAAAATCACTAATCTCCTCACTGCCAGTTCTACAGCTCTCTGCTCTGTCCTCATCCAACTCATTCTTTATGTGGTGTTTGATACAGCTGACCCCCTATGACTCTGTTCATAGATGGTTGTCCTTATCCTGGCTGGATCACTCTTTCAGTATTTCCACAGAAATATGGTCCTCTTCCGCCTTCCCACTGTTTTGTGGAGTTCTTCAGGGTTCCATTCTTGGTTCCTTGCTATTCTCTCTCTGCATTTTTTTTTCCTGAGTAACTTCATCAAAATCTGTATCTCTCATTACCACATAGAGAACGATGGCACTCAATGATACCTTTCTACTCCAGAACGTTTGCCTCAGCTAATCCTGCATTTCCACTTGCCTCTCTGATATTTACCTAGAGGTCTCACCATCATCTCAATTTCAGTATCTCGGTGACTGACCTATTCATCATTACTCTATAGTAATTAACATTATCATCCACATTGTTGATCGGGGTGGGTGGGGAGGATTAGAATGATATTCAGCTAAGTTTTATTCAGAGTAGACCCACTGAAATTAATAAACCTAACTTAAGACATGTTCATTGATTTCACTGGGTATACTCTGAATAAGTCTTATTTGAATAGTACTCATGGTTTTTAATTCTTTCCTTGCTAGCACGTAGGTTCTTAATTGGAAAATCATGCTATTTCCTAAACTACACAGCAAAAATAAATATTTACATTTGTAACTGCTGAAGGTGACTAAGGTTGCATGCTTATGAGTAGATTAGAACTGTAGCCTGCTGTCTCTGAGCTGACAGGGCAAATGATAGCAACTTGGCTAACCGAAGTGACTAAGGTTGCAAGCCATGTCTTATGAGAATGAGCCGACACTAATGTGATACAATCACAATCAATGTAGGGCTGCCCAATCTCCCCACTGCTTTTTATATCGGTCCTCGAGGTTTTGCTCAATATGATTAGAAAAGACCAATTGGTTAAAGGTATACAACTCGGAGCTAAACAGTACAAATTGAAAGCTTTCGCTGATGATTTAGTTTTGACAGTACAGGAGCCAGAAGCTAGCACAAAAGGGTGTTACAATTAATACAAGAATTTGGTCAAGTAGCTGGTTTTAAATTAAACAAGATGAAAACCAAGGTATTAGAGAAAAATCTTACAGAGATAGAGAAGGAGAGGTTCCAGAAAGAGACAGGATTAACAATTGCTAACAAAGTGAAATATTTAGGGTGAATATGACTGCTAAAAATGTGAATTTGTTTAAAGATAATTATGAAAAATGTTGGTCAGAGGTGAAGAAGGATCTAGAAATATGGTCGAAATTGAAGTTATCATTGCTTGGCCGAATTGCTGCGATAAAGATGAATGTACTGCCTAGAATGTTGTTTTTGTTTCAAACATTACAAATTGTGGACAAAATGGACTGTTTCAAGAGGTGGCAAAGAGACATTTCCAAATTTATCTGGCAGGGCAAAAACCTAGAATAAAATTTAAGATATTAACAGATGCGAAGGAAAGAGGGGATTTGCCCTGCCAGATCTTAAACTTTACTATGAATCAGCCGCTTTTTGCTGGCTGAAAGATTGGCTACTTCTTGAAAATGTGGACATTTTGGATTTAGAAGGTTTTGATAACGTCTTTGGATGGCATGCATATCTATGGTATGATAAAGTTAAAGCGCATAAGGCCTTTAAGAACCATATTGTCAGGAAAGCATTGTTTAATGTTTGGGTGAGATACAAGGATTTGTTGGAAAGTAAAACACCAAGGTGGCTGTCACCAATGGAGGCAAAGGCATTGAAAAAAACTAATATGGAGACAAACTGGCCAAAATATTGTGAAATTTTAGAACAAGTTGGAGATAAACTAAAATTGCAGAGCTTCGACAAATTAAAAACTAAAGTTCGAGATTGGCTGCATTATTATCAAATAAGGGAGGTTTTTAACTTAGACAAAAAGATTGGTTTCCAGGAGGAAAAATCTAAACTGGAAACGGAATTGTTAGAACCTAAAACTAAAAATTTATCAAGAATGTATAATCTGCTGTTGAAGTGGAATACACAGGATGAAATGGTTAAATCTGCTATGATTAAATGGGCGCAAGATGTTGGGCATAACATTATGTTTGCTGACTGGGAACGGTTATGGACCACAGGTATGAAATTTACGGCTTGCAATGCTTTAAGAGAAAACATAATGAAAATGATTTACAGGTGGTACTTAACCCCAGTCAAGCTAGCAAAAATTTATCATTGGCCTGATAATAAATGTTGGAAATGTAAAGAAAACGAAGGTACTTTTTTTTCACCTTTGGTGGACGTGCCCAAAGATCAAGGCATTCTGGGAAATGATATATAATGAATTAAAAAAGGTATTGAAATATACTTTTCTAAAGAAACCAGAGGCCTACCTCTCTTTAATCATGCAGTGGCTCACATGACTGAAGAAACGCTCATTGAAAAAATAGCTCACTGTCTCCCTCTGGTGGGCAAAGACTAAGTGATATTATTTAAAGTAGGAAAGATAGCAATGATTTGAAACAATGGTTTTTTTAATAAGAATAAAAATTAGGTCAAAACTATGATACCTAGTCAATACTTAAAAGAGGCCTTCTCATTATCGTTAGAGATTCTTCTTAAAGGGCATTATGGTAATAAAACAGTTTAGAGCAGCCAGAACTGCTGGTTAGCCTTGCTATAGTATAAGAAATCGGTGGGCCTTCCTCCCTACTCGCAACTGGAAAACTTTGCACTAAGCAACCAATTTCAAGGAGCCATTTGTTCATGCTCAGGCTAAGCAAGGTAACAGAATAAAGGTCCTTCTTGCTGTAACAGAGAGACAAAAGCTTTTCTTTTCCATCCCCCTAATTCCATTATCACCTACTGAAGGGTTCTTGGGTTTTGAGGCTGAACAAATCAAATTCTGCCCCCCCCCCCCCACAATAATGAAATGCCTATGAAGTTAATGCCCAGTATTGTAGTACTGAACTTATTTATTTCATAAAATTTATACACTGCATGATTGTAAAAAGCCTCAAAAAGGCTTACAAAAAGATAAAAAAATGAAATCAAGAAAAAAAATACAACCATACTTTAAAACATACAAAAGTTAAAAGACTAAAACAGATTAAACTTTGGGATTTAATCACTGGTCCTTTTTATTTGAAGTATGAAAGTTGTAGAGTTAAATGTACCGTATTTTTCGCTCTATAACACGCACCAGACCATAACACGCACATAGTTTTTAGAGGAGGAAAACAAGAAAAAAAATATTCTAAATGAAATACAGGGAACCAGGCAGAGGGCCTTCTCGGTAGTGGCGCCTTCCCTGTGGAACACCCTCCCACCAGATGTCAAAGAGAACAACAACTACCAGGCTTTTAGAAGACATCTGAAGGCAGCCCTGTTTCGGGAAGCTTTTAATGTTTGATGTATTATAGTATTTTAATATTCTTTTGGAAGCCGCCCAGAGTGGCCGGGGAAGCCCAGCCAGATGGGCGGGGTATAAATAATAAATTATTATTATTATTATTAAATAGTGGATATATGATTTTTGTGGTTCATGCTGTGGCCACAGACATGTGATCTGACAGTGAGTTTGGAGTAGCCCAGTGCAAAAATCCTGAGGATCCATGTGGATCCATGCTTTGTAACCACGGAGGAGGGAAGGAAGGGGAACCATGGATCCTCTGCTCATGACTGCAGCAGATCCCTCCTGCCACCCGCAGGCATTCGCTCCATAACACGCACAGACATTTCCCCTTACTTTCTAGGAGGAAAAAAGTGAGTGTTATGGTGCAAAAAAATACGGTATTCTTACAGTACAATCGTTTTCAAGGTTATGGAAGTTACACCTCCACAGCTAAAGTTTTTTATATTTAATTTATATTTTGTCTTCTTCGTTGGTGCTTTCTTTCCCTAATTCCTTCCATTTTTCCACATGTCTGTTTATATTGTAAGCCTGCAGATGGAGTTTACTCATTGTCAGTTTTGTTTTATGCTGTATATTATTATTGTTGTTGTTGTTGTTGTTGTTGTTGTTGTTGTTGTTGTTATTATTATTATAAAACACAATATTGAAAACAGTTGAAAATAATTTACAACCCCTGAAATAAGGTGGGTGCTTAAAATATACACCCCAGATATCAAAAGCTAGGTAGAGAGGTGTGTCTTCAGCATTCACCAAAAGCCATGTAATGAAGATGCCAGATGCATCTCTATGAGGAGCTAGTCATTAATCTGGTTACCCTATTTTGAATTAATTGAAGTACCTAAGTCATCGTTAAGGTCAGCCCAACATAGTGCGCATTGCAATAATCTAATCTGCAAGATACCACAACATGACCCAGTCATTTACGTCCAAAATGGGCTGTAGCTCGTGAACCAACCAGAGCTGGAAAAAGGCAAAATTCCTTGTCACCAAAGCCATTTGAGCCTCCACTGACAGTGCTTAACCCAGGAGCACCTCAAGCTGCAGACCTGCTCCTTCTAGGGAAGTGCAACCCTGTCCAGGACAGGTGGTCTCCCCCAAACCCAGATGTGGTAACTCAGGATACATAACATCTCTGCCTTTTCAAGATTCAGATTCAGTTTATTGGGTCAACATTTGGCCCATCACCACCTCCTAGCACTGGTCTAACGCTTCAACTGCCTCTCCTGATTTAGATGGTACAGAAAGACAGAGTGGGGTGTCATTTGTGTATTGATAGCACTTCATTCCGAATCCCCTGGTGACAGCTCCCAGAGGCTTCATATATATGTTTAATACCAAGGGGGACAAGATGGAACCATGTGAGAACAACTCCCATGGTGCTGAAGAGTAGCCTCTCATAGCTACATTTGGGAAACAACCCTAGGAGTATGAGCAAAACCTCTGAAACAGAGTGTCCCCCCACACTTCCCTGAGACATTCCAGAATACCACGGTCAACAGTACTGAAAGCCACTGAGAGATCAAAGACAACGAACAGGGTCACACTCCCCCCCATCTCTCTCCTGCAACATGTCATCCACCAGGGCTACCAAAGGCTGCTTCAGTACCATGACCAGGCCTGAAGCCAGCCAGGCATGGATCCAAGCAACCAGTTTTCTCCAAACTCGTCTGATGCGGGACCACCACCACCTTTTTGAGCACCTTGCCCAAAAGGGAATATTCATCACTGGTAGTATACAGTGCCTTGACCTTTTGGAAACTGTAATTTATTGCCTCTACATAAACAGAAGGACTGCTGTTCATGGAGGAAACTGGAAACTAATGGAGGCTCCCCAATGAAGTTTGGGGGCAATAAGGTGGCATTATTCATCCCCCCTTCGGAACAACTGGTGTAATGTATTCCTTAGCTTTTCATTTAGTGAAAAACTAAATGTTCTTTCCTATTTTTATCTTGCCAGAAATTTATCTGATACAATGTTTGCCATTTGTTAGACATATACTGTATTAGAAAAGTAAAACTGCATTCTAGCCTCAGGACACAAAATATGATACACAGTACTATTCTAGTTGAGCTTCTAAAATACATTATCTTTCTAAAAGCAGATCATATATATCCATGCTTTCTTCCATTAAATTCAAGGCTATCTCTTATACAGGAATTAACCAGACTAAGACTTGCTCAGCTTTAGAAAGACTGCAGCAACATGTGTATTAAGACAATGATGGGATCCTGATTTTGATTATAGTCTTCCCAGTAGCAATAATATTAAACCCTATTGAAGTTTCAGGATTAAAAAAATTCAGAAACCAAGTAACAAACTAAAAGTATCCAAGTTCAATATATACAAGTAAATCTACACGCTGCAGCACAGAATGCAGTGATGATTTAATCCAGTGGCAGAACATGACAATTGAAACAAATATTATTTTGTATATAAAGCAAAATGAAGAGCTCTGCTGGAATGTCCTATACGCACGGCAGTATTTTGGTGGGATGGATTAAAATGAGAGGTTAAAACCACACTGTTTAATAGTCATTTCATGTATAAGTTCCTCAGCTGCTATTAACAATTCTAAGTGCTATTATTATTTTGAACACTAGTATTTTTGCCTGGAAAGAAAAATAGCTTGGATATTAGATTCTCAGTGTTTTTTATATTACTTTCCCCTCTGCTACATACTCCTACCATTCATTTTAGTGCCCTGGACAATACACTTTAGCTTCCTATTCATTGTGGAAATACCGTATTTTTCGCTCTATTGGACGCAGTTTTTCCTCTCCAAAAATTGAGGGGAAATGTGTGTGCGTCCTATAGAGTGAATGCAGGCTTGTGCCATAGCCGCGCGCAACCCCTCCGGCAGGGAGAGGCTGCACAGGGCTATGGCTTCTTTAGCCCTGCGTAGCGTCTCCCGGCAAGGAGAGGCTGCACGGGGCTAAAGGGGAAGCCAAAACAGCGAGCGGGATGGATCCCGCTCGCTGCCTTGCCTGCTTCCATAGCTGCGTGCAACCCCTCGGGCAAGGAGAGGCTGCACGGGGCTATGGATTCTTTAGCCTCACGCAGCCTCTCCCAGGAGGTAGAGGCTGCACGGGGCTAAAGGGGAAGCCAAAACAGCGAGCGGGATCCATCCCACTCACTGCCTTGCCTTCTTCCATAGCTGCGCGCAACCCCTCCGGCAAGGAGAGGCTGCGCGGGGCTAAAGGGGAAGCCAAAACAGCGAGCGGGATCCATCCCGCTTGCTGCCTTGCCTTCTTCCATAGCTGCGCACAACCCCTCTGGCAGGGAGAGGTTGTGTGCAGCCTGTACGCTGCTCTTTGGGGCTGGGGGGGAAAAATATTTTTTTCCTTGATTTCCCCCCCTAAAAACCGGGTGCGCCCTATGGTCCGGTGCGCCCTATGGTGCGAAAAATACGGTACCTAACAATTTTGTTAGTTCTATCAGTTGGGACATAAGACTCAAACACAAGAGTCAATATTTTTTTCCAGCCGGTAGGCTAGGTACTGACCTCCCACACTTCCCACAATGCACTTTGACAGCAAGTGTTGCATTGTCTGTTTGCACACATGGTTTGGATTCGAACCATGCCTGCAAATGGTCAGTTTTCCTCTGCAGACTAGCAAAGCTCTATGCAAAGCTAGTCTACAGAGGAAAATAATTTGTTTGCAGACACAAGCAGAACCCAAACCACAGTGACAGATGGGAAACTTCAAAAGGGCTCGCTGTCAGTAGAGTTAGTGAGCCCCACTTTCCAAGGGACAATCAAGAGTGCACTTTAAGCATCCAATTATTTCTTTTTGGTCTCATCTTTACCTAATTTACCCCAATGTCATATATGTTGTCAGGTGTGGGATAGGTAGGTGTGGTTTGCAGGAAATGGCCTTGTGAACCAAATTAGGATCTTTGTTGGGCCTAATTTGACCACAGGCTACAAGTTCCCTATGCCTTCTCTCTCTCTCTCTCTCTCTCTCTCTCTCACACACACACACACACACACACTCTTACTTTAGTATATTCATTTAAAAAAATGTTCAAGTCACCTGTGCTTCCTGGCTGTTATCTACTGACAGTGCTTTAACCTAAGGTTAAAACTACAGAGGTTCTCATTCATCGTTTCTTAAAATTAAGAAATTTCATTTTCTGCATAGTAAATCAGCTTAATGGAATTTTCCTGCTCTAGCCTCTGCATATTAAGTAGTGCTTTTGTCTGAAGTTTACATCTCTTAAGTTATTATTTTTATTTCTCAAGACCAGTGTTTTCAAAAGATAAGTATTTATACATAAGTCTACATTTGAGCAATGCAAAGTAGCTGGGAACCCATAAAACATGGCAAATGACTGACACAGTGTAGTCGCTTAGATGAAGATGCATTCACCTGCTGAAGTTGTGCTTTTGAGATGCGAATGACAGGGGGGAACTTGTTTCCACTGGGAATGACAGGAAGTTGCCTACGGGCAGCTGACCAGGAAGAGGAAGAGTGGCTGTCTCCTGATTGACTCCTTGGAAAGCCAGCCTCTTTCACAGGGTCCGGGTGGGTGGTGAGGTGGGTTATAGGGCTCAGGGTACGGAGGATGGGACTTGAAATTCTTGGGATGGAGAAATGCAGCATGTGAAGTGAGTTGAGCTGTGAGAACAACATGGCAAGGAAAAAAGAAAATGCTTCAAATACATAAAGATCACTTTATTTCGGTCTGTTCTCTGTAGCTTTGAACTTTGTTTCCTCCAGTAGCCAATATTACAAAGAGTAAATACTGGCAGCCACATGATGCTGATTAGAACAGACAGAGACAGGGCTATACTGTTGAGAAAGGTTAAGAGTTTCAAAGTAAGCAAAAGTGATGAAGAACTGACTAGACAGTGGGCTGTGAAGAACCAGAGAACTGAAAACAACTGTTTACACCTGGTGGGTGGGTTAATATTTTTCAAAATACTTCAGTATCTACAATCAACAGTTACTGGCCTCTGGTAATAAAAATAGAATTCAATAAAAGTTAAATTATATCAGGTAATTATTCAAACTAGGTGCATTCCTCATGTTTTTTATATTTCAAAAGTGGTTTTTGGAACTGAACAAGCCACTTTTTTCTTCGATAAAGGAACAACATTATTTATATTAAGGGTAAAGGGACCCCCTGACCATTAGGTCAAGTCATGACCGACTCTGGGGTTGCAGCGCTCATCTCGCTTTACTTTATTTATATTACGTCATTGCAAAACCTTAGTCCAGTGGTACCTCGAGTTACAAACGCCTCAGGTTACAAATGCTTCAGGTTACAAACGCCGCTAACCTGGAAGAGTTACCTCGAGTTGAGAACTTTGCCCCAGGATTAGAATGGAAATCGTGTGCCGGCACAGCAGCAGCAAGAGGCCCCATTAGCGAATGCACGCCTCTAGTTAAGAAGAGTTTCAGGCTAAAAACGGACCTCCGGAACAAATTAAGTTTGTAACTAGAGGTACCATTGTATTTTTGATAATTCTCAAACATACCATCATTCTTGTGCTTTCTTAGCATGTATCTTAATTAAATCAAAATTGAGAGTTGTGGACGTTATTGAAATACATGCTAAACCCTGAAAAATTGCTTCTACAAAGTGCAATTAACTATCATACTCTTCTTAAATTGACTGCAAGCAGGATATTATCTCTATGCAGTATTTTGATTAAGCTTCAGATCTCATGCTTTCAGTTAAAGATTTCTCACAGTGTCTGAATACAACAGAGATGAGCTACAGCTATTAACAGTTCACTTACTGGAGTAAGAGCCCCTTCTGCTTGGGCCTCCATTAGGCTAGTGGGTGTGACTGCAAGAAGATGACCAGCAGTTCCAACTGGGAGTTCTAGTTGATCTGTAAACTGTTCAGAAGCGGCTGTACCATGACACTCAATATCTAGAGCCAATGCTGCTCCCATAGCTGTATTCTTGGTATGAGCTCTAAGCTTATCTTCTTGTGGGGGCTCTTCAAGGACTTGAAGCACCTCAGGCTCCTCATCAGAGGGGCTTCCAGTTGTTTTATGCCCTAAAACTCCATTAGTCCTGAAATCCTGCAAGTCTCTGTCTTTATCCACTATCACCCATTCCTTGGAGTCAACTTCCTGCTGGCAGGAACTCAAATTGACTGCCACATATCCATTGCTGACAACACCATCACCCTGTTCTGGAGAGCTGCCAGAAATGGGCTTGGAAGCTTCAGGTAGGTATTCTTCATCATAGTGCCAAACATGCTCATGACTGGAAGCAACTGGAGGCATGGGTGGTTTTTGAAAAGCTGCAACAGCAGATTCTTTGCCAGGATTCAACTCTCTTTTCTTCTTCTCCATGCTTGGGAATGTTGAGAGAAATTAAGGAAACATGATCAAGCAAATTAGGATTGTGTAAACCATGTTAAGTGAAAAATAACAGGATACTATCTAATGTAGACAAATTAGGCCGTTTGTTATCAACATCATTACATTTCTATTTCTAGTAGATGTTCTGGGGTAGCTCCTGTGGCATCCTCTAGATGTTCTTGGACTACAACTCTCATCAACACTTAGCATGTCAAACGGCCAGGAATTATGAGAGCTATAGTGCAAGAACATCTGGAGGGCACCATGTTGGCTACCCCTGTTCTAATCATTTAGAACTGGATTTCTCAAATTATATTATGAATTACTGGCTCCCCATTCCCAAAACCTGACTTTATTTTCCCTGCATTTGTAGGGTCAATCATATGGCATGAGTAACAGTGAAATCTGTGCCAAATAACTAATCAATTAAAGATGACTCACTATAAGCAAAGCAACTGCTAAGAAAGCTTAGCAGAACAAAAGCCATTACATACCAGACTTCCAGAAATTTATCTGTATCTGGCTTGGACTCCAAGGTCAGACGTTTCTCCAGTTCAAAACTGTGAATTGATCGTAGCTTCCGCACCAGAGGAACATCCCGATCTAGCTGTGTGGTCTCTGAGCGGACTCTAATTGGAGAACCAAGGCTTGGTGCATTAAGCATGCCATTAATTGGTCCATGGCTGTTTTCCTCTTCTGTAGCAGTCTGTGATTAAAAACACCATAAGAGAACTATAAAATATCAGGTAAAAGACACAAAATGTAACATTTAGTTGTTGGCATCCCGGCTTTTCATTCTGTCAAAACACTTTCAGTTCTTCTATTTGATAGGCTTGCAATGCTAAATGTAGTCAGAACTGCAGCAGAAAGATCGCTGCTCAACTTCATTTACCACCAGAACTAACTAATTTCCACATGAACTTTCAATTTTGCTTGTGGCTAATATGCAGTCTTCTGTAAATGTGCTTTTGAAATTGTTTGTGGACTTTAACTCCAAATCAGTATCCATATCAAAAAGCAGCCCTATATACTACCTAACATCCAGGGTTTAGATACTAATGAACATAGAAAACTGCCTTATTTCAAATTAGACTAAGCTCAATAGCAGCAATCTGAGGTTTCAAGCAGGAGTCTTTCCTAGCCCTATGTGGAAAGACAAGGATTGAAACAGAGGCCCCTAAGTTGCAAACAATATACTCTATCACTGATAGCCCTTTTCAAAAATTAAGTTTTAATGTTTTCTGATTTCACTCACACATAGCTGATCCCACTAGCAAACACAAACATCTAAAGAGCTGTCACAGGGAAGATGGAGCAACTCTGTTTTCTCCTGACAGAGGAGCGGTCTCCCTCGGGAGGTTGTGGACTCTCCTTCATGTGAGGTTTTTAAGCAGAGGTTGGATGGCCATCTGTCATGGATGCTCTAGCTGAGATTCATGCACTGCAGCGAATTGGACAAGATGACCCTTGGGTACCTTCAAACTCTACAGTTCTGTGATTCCATAGGTGCTGTTATACAATTCATTTACAGAGGCCTCTGCTAACAGAATCAATGAGGTTTTTCACTAATTCTACCTCCCGTCTGCAGTCCCCCATGCCACCTTCCATGCTGTTCTGAAGGGTTCCCAAAACTCTTCAGAGCAGATTATTTGTGAAGCAGCTGAGGCAGGGGGATGTACCGCTCCTTCCATTAGCAGAGGTGCTCACCAAACTGAAATATGTTCCATCTGTGGAACAACACCTGAACTCTACCCAACATCCCTACCACCACACAGAAGGAACTACATGTCCCATTACTGCTCTAAGAAAGGGCTGTTTTGTCTAAAATAGCAATATTTTGTGCCACCTTAGCTGTGACCAAAGAAGCATCAGGGAGACAGATTGTAATATGCTACAGAAACAAGCAGCCACAGAAGACAAAGCTGAATCTTCAGCTTATTCCTGTGATCAGTGGTCAAAAGGTGAAAACATAAAGTAATGAAAAATGGGGTTAAAAATAGCCTACTTCAAGTATATACTCTGATATATGTCCCAAATGCTGTGCCTGGGCCCACAGTAAAATTGCTCACTGTAATGCCAGCTAGGTGTCCTTAGCAATTTAACAAAAATTAGGAAAGAATTTATAAAGAGAATATATTTTCACAATACTACTATGTAACCTAAGGTGCAGCAATATAAAGAATACAATGCAGTTATGGCCATGCTCAAAAGTTAGCATAGAGCTGGAGTAGATATAGAAAACAACAAATTATCAGGAAAAAACAATATCTTCCTTATGAATACTTGCTTAAAAATGGAGAGTTCTGTGATGGGGGAAAAGAACTACCACAATAAGGAAGAGCAAATGTAGGTTTATAAAATTATAAACAAATAAACAATTCTCTCAACACACTGGAACTCTTGAGTCATCAAATGGAAAGCTGTCAGTAGGTTCAGGACAAACAGAAGAAAGCATAATTAACTTATGAAAACCACTGAAACAGGATACAGAGATGTCCACTATCTTATATAGTTCATGCTCTCGTATGGCTTTCAGGAATGAACAACTCTTTATCAAATAGCAGAAAATAAAACCTTAATGTTAAAAGAAATATATCAAATGCTGGGACAAATGACATAGTTGTCCCCAACATACCCAGCTTCTTCATTTCCTGGGACATCTGACTTGCTGATAATATAGTGATTTTATTTGATCCATTAAAGCAAATCTTAAGATATAGAACCAAAAAAGAATTGAATGTTATTGTCTGCTCAATTATAGTACTTACTTTATGGACACCTGCTTTTATCTTATTCCTGTTTGCATCCATTTCCTCCCACACATCCTTTTCCTGAAGATGATGTCCAGGAGACTCTGGTAGCTTTTCTGGAGAGATTCCCATAGGGATACCATTCTCACCATCACTAAGATGTTCATCTGGAAACACATCATCTGTATTCTCTCTCAACATATCTCCTGGTATTGGTGTAGCATTGGCAATTCTATAAAGAAGAAGAAAAATAAAGAAACAGTATTGCAATATGAAAGTTTGACTCAAGGATGCAGTACAGGTTACACCCTCCCTTCTTCCTCTGGATGTTGTTAAGACTATAAGACAGCATAGCCAATGGTCAGTGATGATGAGAGCTGCAATCCAGCAACATCAGGAGGGCCACAGGTTCCCATCTATGCTCTAAGAGTTTAAACCATGATCCTTAAGGTCTCAGTCCTCATCTAATAAGCTATTGTAAAACAGTGTGTGCGCCATCCTCGGAACTCTTCAGGGTTCAGGCTTTGCATCTTGCAGCAAGTAAGAAGCACCTGGATTGGTCAGATCTGGTATCACACACTGAGATTCTAAACAGAGCTTTACTCTCTACTGGCTGTATACTCTACTTCCTTTCAGCTCAAACCTTAGGGAATCTGAACTCAGAACACTGCCATCAGTTCCGAGACTGAAGGGCAGCTCTATGCTTCTGCATCTTCCCTAGTCATAGTGCAGCATGCAGGAGCAAGATTAGAATGCTGGTACAGTGGTGAAGGGAAGTTTTCTTTCTGCAGTTCTCTCACTGTGAAGTTCTCTTTCTGCAGTTCTCTTACTGCACATAACTCTTGCATTCTGGGAAGTCTCGCTCATAATCTTCTCTCTGCTTCTGCACAAGAGTCTGAGAATGTTCTGAACAGTTCCCATTGAGTTCATGAAACAGTGTATCCTGACCTGTCCTTAATGCATTGCTGACCACATACACGGAACGTGATTGTTGTATTCCTTCATGTTATGTTCTCTCAATATCAATCTTTAGTTATAATTTAATTAGGAGGTTTCATGCCTGTCTAGTTCCAGCTCCGTTCCCAGTCTTTTGAACTATCAGTGATTAATGTAATATGTTATTCCGCCTTGTACCTATGTTAACCAATCAGCAACAAGATGCTTTGTGTTTGTATCAGCCAATCAGCCACAAGCACACCTGTGGCAATGTTTGTAATATTCAATAAAAGAGAGTTCCCGGGACTTGTCCCGGCAGACGCCTCTCCTTTGACACCCACCATTCGTCTGTCGTGATTTCAACCCAACACAGTGGTACCTTGGTTGTCAAACTTAATTCGTTCCGGGAGTGCGTTCAACTCCTGGAACCGTTCAAAAACCAAGGCGCGGCTTTCGATTGCTTGCAAGAGTTTCCTGCACTCAATCAGAAGTTGTGGAAGCTTCCAAAGACCATTCAAAAGCTGGAACACTTACTTCTGGGTTTTCAGCGTTCGGGAGCCAAAACATATGCATACCAAGGCGTTCTAGAACCAAGGTATGACTGTATTGTGTTATTTTGCCACAATGCTATGAAGTGGGGGGATGTCAGGAGATATGTAATCTACATTAATGGGTTTGTCACCTATAACCAACAGAATTAATACAAAGTTTTAAATTTTGTCACTTATTCAACAAAGACCTCTAGGCTGTTCACAAAGTTATCTGGGTAGTAGTACACTCTCCAGGTACTCTCCCAAATGGAAACTGAGCAATCTGTTTTTCTTAATGCTGCAACACAATTGAGAATGAGAATCACATATACAGTGGTGCCTCGCAAGACGAAATTAATCCGTTCCGCGAGTGTCTTCGTCTAGCGTTTTTTTCGTCTTGCGAAGCAACCCTATTAGCGGCTTAGCGGATTAGCGCTATTAGCGGTTTAGCGGCTATTAAAGGCTTATCGGCTTAGCGGATTAGCTGCTAAAAGGCTACTAAAGGCTTAGCGGCTTAGAAAAAAGGGGGGGGGAGCGAAAAAAAATCTCAAGACTCGCAAGACATTTTCGTCTTGCGAAGCAAGCCCATAGGGAAATTCGTCCTGCAAAGCAACTCAAAAACGGAAAACCCTTTCGTCTAGCAGGTTTTCCGTCTTGCGAGGCATTCGTCTTGCGGGGCACCACTGTAATCCCATCACAGATTCCTAAAACTATTCAAAACAGAAGCACTGACTTTTTAGAGAAGTATGAAAGGTTCTTCCAAGCAAGCTCTCCAGAGTTTGTCTGTCAACACCTGGTTATGGAAGAAGCACATCTGGTTCCCTCACCATTACAATGCTATCACGTAAGGAACAGAAGTCTAGATGCCTTTAGATCAAGGTCTTAGGACGAAGAAAGAATGCCTACTATCCAGAATGTCACATGTCACTTCATTAACTGGATGATATCAAAAGGAATGCTCCAACATACCCTATGGCAGCTGGGGTCTGACGAGTGTGCAGTTGAGGAGTAGTTGAAGTGGTGGTTGTTGTTAAAGAGCCATCAGCTCCACTCTTTTCCCAGTCAAATAGGTCACTCTCAGTCACCCCAGAAGTCTTCATACTGTTGTCAAAGACGGACATGAGAAGCTATATAAACAAAAGAGAAGAGTTGGTATGCTCCCAAGTTACATTTAGAAAACTCACGAAAGTTGTTCTTTCACGCCATTCATGAATTATTATTTTTTTAAATCTATTATTTATTTATTGAATTTCTATACACTTCAGCCAAGGATCACAGGGCAGTTTACATTATAAAAACACAAAACTACACCACATAATAACAAACAATGACACTCAACAGTTTAAAAGACCATAGATTGTTTAATTTGCCAAAGGCCTTGGAGAAGAGGAATGTTTCATATCCTATGAAAGGCAGACATTATATTGATATCTGTTAAAAAAGGCAACACAGCATTCAAATGATGGACAGGTTTCATTAATAAGTTGAAGCCGTTATATTTACACGGCTGTCATCGCAAAACATTTTCTTACACCTGTTTTCTATTACAGGTTAAGTACAGTGTATATTGTGGCATGAGGATTAACAGGAAGTGGGCAATAAAAAGAACACTGTATGAGCAAGCACAAAGAATACAATGGAAGAAATGAGGAACTAGACACTTTGATATATTCTATTTTAAAAAATACTTTCCAATTTCTCCTGCAAATCTTTGCAAAACTACCCAAATATGAACATTGTAGAATTCTGCCTCATCAGCTAATTTCTCTAACTGATACAGGGGTACAATTCCTGCAGAAAAATGGTTTCATATACACACTGCATAAAACATGCAGGGCCATCTGAATTGTGTTTGGAAATCAATATATTCAATGTATTGAAATATGTCTTAGACACCAGAATAAAGACACAATAAAAAAAGCACAAGCACTTAAAATGAGTAAAAAGGAAACCATTCACTTCAGCTGCTTGTCATTTTTTTACTTTAGAAGTTCTGTAATAAAGTTAGTATGGATTTGTCTAGGTACGATATGACAAAACACAAGAGGCAAAAGTAAGGTATAATGATAGTGTACCTAATTAGCTATTGCTACTCATTGGAACAGATGTGTGAATGCATGTTGAAGTGTTTAACAAGACATGGGTTTCCAATAAGACATAAAATTAAGACATTAAAAAATCATACCTGGTAATCAGGTTTAGTAAAATAATCTAAAGTAGAAATGTGATCTAGAAAGGTGTTAAATTCTTGAGGGAGATGTTTCAGCATCAGCCGGTGGTCATACCTCTCTTTTATGGAGCCCACTTGCTCCTACAAGTAGGAAAATGAAATATTTACCATACTTTCCTTCAGTTCCTTATAGACATTATTTATTTATATGCCACCCCTCTGCCAAAGAACTGAAAGCAGTAAAGAATTTTAAAATGCTAAACAAATAAATGAAAATACAGTTGGCCAGGTGAGAATACAGCCCAACTGGAGCAGGTGCCAAATTGTCTCCCTCACCTTCCTTCCTTTCTTCTTTCTTCCATTAGAGTATATTTTGTATTATTTTAACTTCTTATCTGCATAGTAGGACCTCAGATAGGACAAATGGTCTTACCTGAAGCATAGATTTGATCGGTTCTGAGGATATGAATGAGTTTTTCTCAACGCATTAGGGTCCTCAGTATCCATATCAAATCTGAGTTTCTAATCTTTATTCAGATCAAAATTAATAGCTCTGGTTTTAAAGGTAAAGGTCTGTAATAAGCTTTAACAATGAACCATCTTTAAAATAAAACAAATGCTCTTGGATATACCTCCCTGTTAACTTAAGCCTAAAAACACATAAAGAGCCATTTGAAATAAAACTGAACTTCTGCCAAGATCCAAGTTGCTCTTCTCCAAACAGCAAGTGGGGAACTAACAGCTGGTCAGATATAGTGAAGAGATATATTAAATTATGTCTAAAAGACACTGGCTTGATTGTGTAGCACAAACATTGAGCACTTCCAGCCTGCAGGCCACATTAGGCACACCAGTGAGCATAATCTGTCCAACAATATCAATTTTCTTCCAGCCATGCCTACAAGCCATTGTATGATGTCAGATGTGAGATCAGTAAAGTTATGGCTGAGAAGAAACATTCAGGACCCCTAGAATGTGCTCCCAATGGTTCCTCTGCAGGCAGGGCTTGAATTAGGTGTCTTTTTAATTTGGCACCAAATGCAAACACACTGGGTTCAGCTCAGAGCTCCTAAGTAGACTGGATTCCCACAGAAGGTGGGACTTGCATTTGACAGGAATCTTTGCAGCTGCAGGTTGAATTCAAGCTGTGGCTGCAAAGATTCTCAATGTCAATGTTTATTATTATGGCAAACAGCCAGAATACTCGGCAAAGATTCTGCAAATAAGAATCAGGAGTACTTTTAGGGTGTGTTCCCAATTATTCCTTTGAAGTTTAATAATCTGACAACGTATGACTGATAACTGACTAGAGGGTGGCCCTGTGCATCTATCAAAAATGAACCATGGAAGGTTGATCACCAGATCCCGTTCCCAACCCCTTGTATAGAAGATGGGTTTTATTATTTTTAACTAAGATTAATGAAATTCTGTACTCATGCCGGCTATGTTAATTAAAAAACAAATGCATTGAAGTAAGCAAACATTGTTTTTAAAGAACTTTAATATATTGAAAGGAATCTCATGAACATATTCAAAGACATTCTCCGCAGTTTATCTCCAATGGTACATTTCTCAACAGACCTTGTCCTTAATTTTCCTCCAGGGCAGCTGTCCAACCACAAATTCGACCAACATGTAAAACAAAGACCAGAGGTCATCATGACGTCCCATTTCCTAAAGAAAAAGAGACAGTATGTTATTATTATATAGTCAATTCCCCATTTTCTTGTGCTACCAATCACAATGTATCACATGCTAAAATTCTAATGCCACAATAGCGAAGTATGTAGCAAAAAAAGATTGATCTCAACATGTAAGCAGACAGACAAGATGCAGCTAAAAATGTTGATTAGTCTTACCTGAATAGTAGATTTATTAGGTGGACGATGAAGTATTTGGATTGGGCTGTTCCTCTTGCACGAGAATCAGGCAGGAGCAAAGAATTGTGGTAGACCGTTTCTCCTCAGTTTTTTGGACTTGCCAATCAGGAGCACCATGACAAAAAAATCTAAAACTAAATTAAACACAAGGCCTACCTCCTCCTGGCTAACATGCGAACAGGAACAAGAGTAAGTAATGTGCAGCAACATGAAAAAACCTGCATGTCAAGAAAACGAATCCTCCATAATAAAACTCAAGCATATAATAAATCATATGGTCTGCTGCCAAGTAGGGAGAAGCCATTTTAGGCACCCCCCTACCTGTTGTGACACAGGGTCATTGAGTATGCTGCTTACCACCCTTGGTGGCTGGGGCGGCAGAAAAGCGTTGGAATGGCTGTCTACCTTGGTGACGCTGCTTAAAGGGTTAAGACTTGAATCTCACTGCCTATTCTGGAACCTGAGCAGTGAAAGGAATGAAACTGAGTGGGGTATGGAACAAAATGCCTAGCATACCTTCTATCAGCCTTCTGACTTAAAGAAACCTTACGCTTATCCTTTGAGTCCACCAAAATATCTTTCAGAGCTGACTCTCCAAGTACAGGTAGTTGGCCTCCCACAAAAGGTACCACAGACAAGTTAGCCTTAGTGGCAGAGTCAGCCTGCCAATTCTTAAGCCACAAAGTGCAGCACACTGTTACCTGTGCAGATATGGCTCTTGGCGCAAACTGCATAGCATCCACAGTAGCATCTGCCATGCAGGCTTGTGATTTTATGAGTTTTGAAAGGATGTGACGCACCACATCCTGAGGAGGATTATGAAGCAAATCCTCCAACCATACCACACAGGCATGTGCGCAGGAGGAAGCTATACAAGAAGCTCTCAATGAGAATGAAGCAGCCTCATGTACTTCGCGAAGGGCAAACTCAATTCTCCTATCTGTAATATCATGCAATTGAGCATTTTCATCCTTTGGGGCCAAATGACGTGAGGAAAGATGCAGCAGAGGAGGACCAACGGAAGGTGACTTCTTTAAAGCCATAAATTCTGGCTCTAAAGAATATAATTTATTCACCAATCCATTAGTCCTTTTCAAATGCATAGGCGCATCTAGCTCTGCCTTTACTATCAATTTTAGAAGAGATGGAACCCACAATCTTGAAACAGCCTGGAAGATTGTGGCTCTTCCCACACATCCTCTTCTTCCACATCCAGTGATGCATGAGATAATGACATAGTAAAATCAGCCTCCTGTAATTCCTCAGACATAACTTGAAAAGGGTTAGGGGAGCAATTCCCTGCAGAATGTGGCATACGCGTACAAGAAGCTTTGATTTAGTAAGCACAGGAAAGGCAGCATTGGGACGTAAGTCATGCTTAAGGTCTGATGATAAGGAGGCAAGAAGGGCATCCTTCAACTGATCAATTCAAGAAGCAGACAAGTTCACATTCAAAACCTCTGATAAACCTTGACCCATTGGTGGCACTGAACTTTGCTCATTACAGTAGATCCTAATTGGTCATCAGCAAAACCCTGAAATTCAGGCTCAGGATCAGAGGATATGGCTATGGTCATTATTAGTATTGCCAGCAGATGGCAGTAAAATCTCACTAAATAACTGAGCAGCACTCTGTGGCTGAGCCATGGATTGCTCTGAAGGAGATTTGTTTACATGGGTAGACCTTACCTTACTGACAACACTGGAAAATGATGGCCCTTCGCATGGGAGGAGTGATTTGAGCGACTGCAGGAAGCAGAGGACCACATTCTACGTTTATTTCACTTTTTTATGCGGAGAGGCACCCAAACCTTGCAGAGACTCTAAGGATGCCATTGAAATTTATTGGGAGAAAATTGAGCCGCTGAACCAGACTGCTGATTCAAATATTACTGCAGGCGAAACGTGTTGAAACAGCCCTTTGCGCTGCTGAAGCAGACAGGAGAACAAGGAGCTGAAGCTTTCTTTGTCCCTTTCATTCTCTGTAGAAGCAGCAATTCTTGAAGGAAAGCAAATGCGCTGAATAAAGGGTCCAAAAGGACAGTGAGGGTAAGGCGCAGAGCGGCTGTTAGGGAAGCAGCGCGCAGTCACTGCACGAGGCAGCCTGCGCCGCAAAAAAAGCTGGAATAAAAGGCAGCCCATCTGCCAAAACGACAATAGCCAGCAAAAAGAAATAAAGATAAAAATTAAGAAATTAATGGAAAATAGAAGTAAAACACTGAACGGAGAACAGGGAAAGATGTTTAGCAGGGAGACAAGGTTGTTTGCTTTTTTACACCTCAGTGGAGGACGCATAAAAGGACCAATAGACAGGAAAAGTAGCCAATTACTAAGTAACTAAGAATAACAAAAAAGTAGTTAAAGAGGACTCTGCTAACTAACAATCAACAAAACAGTGAGAGCTGAGGAGGAAAAAATTGAGGGGAAACAGTCTACCTCCCATAATTCTTTGCTCCTGCCTGAGTCTTGTGCAAGACGAACAACCCAATAAGAACACTTCATTGTCCATCGTAATAAATCAGCACCATCCATGCACAGGGAAGGAGATTAGTAGACTCTTGGGCTTACACAAGTACCTTGGTGGGTGAGGGGAACAAAACTGCCCAAGAACAGACTGAGAACATTCAGTGGCCTGATTGGGGGGCGTGGAAATAGACTGCCAGAGGGGAGGAGACATGGAATGAGGCATAGCCTGGGAAAGGACATGGCTGGTTGGAACCCTAGAAGAAGCACTCTACACTGCAACATTTTGTGGCAAGACTCACTTGTAAGAAAACAATGCTTAAAGAGTTGAAATGTTCTCTATAGATTCAAAACAGATGGGGGAAGAAACTCTATAAATATACTCACAGAAGTATACATAGAAGCAAAGCAAGCTAGCAATTAGTTTAAATGAGTTTCACCTCTTTCCTTAAATTACCGTATTTTTTGCCCTATAGGGCACACCGGTCCATAGGGCGCACCCAGTTTTTTTTTGGGGGGGGGATAAAGGAAAAAAAATTATTTTCCCCCCAGGCGCGGGGCTGGGGCAGGGGAAGCCCAAGCTTCCCCCGACCCCAGCCCCCAGAACAGGCTTGTGTATATCTGCCCGAAGCCCGGGGTGCACTCCGCTGCTCTCCCTGGGTTTCGGGCTGCAGGCTGCTGTCCACAAGCCTTGGGAGACCGGCGCGACTTCCCGCCGGGCTCCCAAGGCTTGCGGAGAGCTTCCTGAAGCCTGGAGAGCGAGAGGGGTCGGTGCGCACCTCGATAAAAAAAGAAAGTCAAAAGTGGCCAAAAGACTGTGACCCTTTCCGTCAGTTCTCACATCCCACCAGAAAAACATTTCCCCAGCAAAGCCAAACCCCACCCTAGTCTATATCAACCTCTCACGGGGAGGGGAGCATGTGTGTCCCTTTCATTCATACCTACTAAAAATTAATTAGCACTCTTTTAATATGCCATGTAATTAAAATGGTAATCAATTTATTTAGCAAATTTCAGTCACAGTATTATTTCCGTTCTAAGAACATCCAGTATGATTAAAGATGCATAAGTAGACATTTTCTTTTGCCAACAATTTAAATATTTCAGGCAGTATTACTTACAATTATAAATCACCTATAGGAAAAAGACATGTGAAACAGAAAGTTAAGATAATCACACCATTTGTAATTGTTTCAGTAACTAAACATTCAGGCTATTGCAAGTACTAATACTCACTCTGTTCCTGTGAGCATTGACTGACGCATACCGCACAGTCCCTCTAAAACCAGCAACAGCTCTGGGCTATCAATACAACAGAGGGGGAGAAATTCTGTTACACTGTGTTAGTTAAAGATATACAGTACATAAAAGCCACACTACAAAGAATAATGTAGGCCTTCTACTCTGGAGTCTTCCTCTGCTAAGAATGCACAGGTCTGTTTGATCTATATGTTATTGGGGAAGCATGTTTGTATAATAAATAAAATTTAAATGGGTATGGTAAATAAGCAAACACATTTTGAACACATTTTAAGTAGTTCAGAAACATTTTTCTATTTAACCAGATTTATTAACTATAAGCTGCTGAGAATCAAAAGCGGTGAAAGTGCTTTTGCACTCAGAACCTGCTTGCAGGCTTTACAATAGGCATCTGGTTAGCCACTGCGAGAAGAGTTTACTAGACTGGATGGGTCCAGCAGGGCTCTTCTGTTCTTATTCAAATAGTTCCATTTTATTCAACCTTAAAGAAGCCATTTTGTTATTTCCCTTTTATCTCAGCACCCAAATTCCAGTGCATTTTACTTTAATTGCCAGTTTCCTATTCACTCCACGACTAGGATACTAAGTGCCCAGACAAACAAAAAACCCTGTCCCCTTCATACAAAGCACTTTTCAGCTCTTTGCAAACATACTCCTAGTTGCTGTATGCAAAGTACTAATGCTCGTTGCTAATTGAAAGTGCAATAAGCTCCAGACAGACACCTTTTTATTCCTTATTTTGGGAGATCAGGGAATAAGGCAAAAGTTTCACAAGTCAGTAGTAGCCAGCACCTTTTTTATTTATTTATTATTCTATTTACATATTTATATACTGCTTAATAGGGAGTGGGTGGCGCTGTGCTCTAAACCCCTGAGCCTCTTCAGCTTGCTGATCAGAAGGTCAGCAGTTTGAATCCGAGCTCCCGTTGCTCTGTCCCAACTTCTGCCAACCTAGTAGTTCGAAAGCACAACAGTGCAAGTAGATAAATAGGTACCGCTACGGCGGGAAGGTATACGGCATTTCTGTGTGCTCTGGTTTCTGTCACGGGGTCCCATTGTGCCAGAAGCAATTAAGTCATGCTGGCCACATGACCAGGAAAGCTGTCTGTGGACTAACGCTAGCTCCCTCGGCCTGAAATGAGATAAGCGCCACCACCCCATAGTCGCCTTTAACTGGACTTAACTGTCCATGGGTCCTTTACCTTAATACTGCTTAATACTAACACAAAGTGCTTTACAAAAACAAAATACTAATTTTTCTGTATATGAAACTGAAAAACAGTGATGCAGTACAAATTAATCAAATAATAAAAACAAAAACAAAATCCAGAAGCACATTTTGGAAACATATTGAGTCAGGGCCCCTTTCCCTCCTTAGCCTCTAACTTGCCAAGTCATATCCTAACTCACAGTATGTTACATTCACCCAACTGCTGTTTTTCAATTACACAAATTGTACAAAATTCACTACTCATGCTGTATCACTTATCCCATTCTATTCCCACACCTCACACAAGCAAACTAAACTCCCAATCCCTCCTATATCTCGCACTAAATCACCAAACCATTAACACCAATCACTCCTTACACGTTATTAAGAATGTACAGCAACAACACCGGGGACAATGAGCCTACTCACTGACACAATTACCTCACTTTCATGTGATATTAAACCATGGTTTAAAACAAAAAGTTACCATGGTGCTCCCCCTCCCTCTGCTCCTACTGTGCAAGACAAAATAAGTCAGAGTGTGGCTTGTCAGGTTATCCAAACCTGGCCTTGTGGTTTCCTTTGCTCAAACAAACAAGTAATAAGTGAAAATAAAACCTTGGTTACCACTCGTGGGGGTTTTGGGTGAAAGAAACCACATGCTCATATTTGTATGACATGACAAGCCACACTTTGCCTATTTTGCTCAGAGCATAGCGGCAGCAAAATGAGGGAGGATTACCCTGAAAACTTTGTAACAGCACATACTAGCATGCTGCCCATTAACATTAAACCATAGATTGTTTAAACCATAGTTTGGTCCCACTCACTTAGCCCTTGGAGGTTTGGCCAGATTAGAACTTGGGTCTCAGATCTCTGGCATAATGCATCAAGCATGGATAAAACAGTTATTTTAAAAGCAGTCCAATATATCAAATTTAAAATTACTAGTAAAAAGTTTTATTAGAATTTCTTACCGGTCTGACATCCCCACATGAATTTGTAAACTGACGCGCCAAGCCAAAATCCAGCATGTAACACTTCCTCCAAGTGCTAGGGAAACGTCCCATAGCAAAGTTGGACTGGGGAGGAAAAAGAAGACATATTGATTGATAATACCATACATGTTATTCAACAACAATCTCCACACAAGACAAACGCTGAATACAACATTAAGGCTGCAATCAATTACTTAAACTACTCTGCGTAGGACTACCACTGGATACAGTTATTTAAACTTTTGGGTAGACATGCCTAGGACTGTGCTATTCAATCATGTTAAACAGAACATCTTAATACTTTGAAAGAAAGTACAGAGTAATATATTCTCAGTGGATGCAATCATCTTAGGCTTTCCTAAATTAAGAACTTACTTTTAAAACCGAAAGCAATTATTATTTGCTAGATAAGACCATTACAGTTAAAGAGTTCTAATGTTACTGAAAATCAATATATAAAAGAAACAATCATGGATTAGCTTTTTAACTATGCACTGTCATCTTAATAGTTTTATATCCAATTTTCTGATTGTTCTAACTGCATGATCACCCCCTAATAAGTGACAACAGTTGCAACTTAAATTCTTGGCTCTAACAAAATTTGTGGATAAACTCACTGGCTTAATATCTCTGTGTAAAAAACCAACAGAATGAATGCTCTCAATAGACTCTAGAATTTGCTTGCCAAGTCGCAAGGTAGTACTGATTGTGAAGGTCCCTCTAGTTTGGCTTCGACGCAGATCGGCCAAGTTCCGACCCTGAAAAAGCAAGAAAGTAATTTACGTTCAGTGCAAATTTCCCTCTTCCCATCCAAAATGAGGAAGACAGACATTTTCAATCATATTTATTTTTTTCATTTAGCTTTCATAATCATTTTATATTGGGCAAAATTAATCAACATTAGATTTATTCTTTACATTGAACTGATCAAGAAGAGAATAGGGTATCAATTAAGCTATTAAAATTTTTTTCCAAGAGGTGGCCCAGATCACAAGGCATGATAAGTTGTAGCAGCAGTAGCAGTTGTTATTATTGAGTTTGGTAGTTGCTAAACACAAAGAAGTCTCAAAGCAATGTAACAGCAAGATAAGTAAAATCAAGTAAAACCCAAATTAAAAGCAATAAATTGACCATCTAACAATACAAAAAGAAAAAATCTATTCTACACCTGTAAAAGACGAGCAGCACAGTAGCGGTCAACTTAATCTTCAACAGTCTGGGTAAATAAACCTGTACTAGCCTGGTACCGAAAAAATGACAAGGATGGTGCCATGTACATTTTCCTGGGAGATAGAGTTCCAAAGACATGGAGGTACCACTAAAAAATCCCATTCTTGTTTAGCCACCCTCTGCAATTGCTTCAGATAAGGCACATGGAGAACAGCCTGTGGTTTCTATTTACCCTTCTCCTATCAAATAAGCATTGTTACATTAGCTGGACATTCTTTCTTAGGGGGTTGTGGAGATTTAATTTATATCTGTGAACATCCTTTTAGAGCAGGGGTTGTCAACCTGGTCCCTACCGCCCACTAGTGGGCGTTTCAAGATTCTACGTGGGCAGCAGGGGGTTCCACGGCACAAGCTGAATCCTCCTTCCATCGAGCACTGGTGGGCAGGAAGGAAAATTTACCATCAAGAAAGATGCATTAGTGGGCAGTAGGTATAAAAAGGTAGACTACCCCTGTTTTAGAGAACGAATAAATGTAACAAACTTACTTGCAACTGCATGACCACATAGTTGAATCTGTCATTCCTTCCACAGCCAATGAATTTGCAGACATGATCTTTTCCTGCAGAAATAAAATATACACTTTTTATGTTTCCATATTTTTCTTCTCACAAGTTTGGATGCAGAGAGTCACCTACAGAAATGAGGTTGGAGGAAGGCAACACCTCCTCTAGAGAAGCCTGTCCTAAAAGTCAAGGGACCTTCCTGAATGGGGTGCACTGTGGTTCAGGGGGCTGAAAGGGGAGATAAGCCAAAAACTGGGCAGAGACTCCCTCTCACTGGACACGCCTCCACCCTATTTTCAGCAAGTCCCTCCACCCCAGCACACCCTACTCAGGAGGGTCCCCAGTTCTCAAGAGAGACTTTTCAGGAAGCTGCTGGGAAAGGAGGTGGCAGAAAGATTACTTTTCACTAACCCCACTCTCCCCAAGCGCTTCCCTAAATCCCTAAATCTATTACTTACATTTCTGGGTGGCAAAAAAAGGAAACAGAACTTAAGGAACAACTCAGACATGTGGAAGAAACTTGTCAAAAATAAAAACCACTTTGTCTCTAATTCTCTGCACCAATTCATAAGTAAACAGTGCCTCATTATCCAAAAGTTGTTAGCATTCATGGAAGTAAACATATTTCAGTGTTAACATTTTTTTAGTTACTCTGAAACACCTCACCCCATGATAATGTTGCATGAAGATGAACATAAGCAGGGTTTGCCACTGCCTGGATTTGAGCATAAACCCAATTTGTGATTTGCAAACATGGCCACTAAGATGCAACAAAAATGCTTTTTGCTGATAAATTAGAAACAATTTTTATCTGAGGTGAAGCAGGAGAACCAGGAGAAATGTACTGCTGCGACAGGCAGGAGGAAAAAACGGAGGGGAGCGTGACTGCCTCCCACAGTTCTTCTCTCCGGCCTGTGACCATGTGGCGAGGATCAAACCACACCATTGGCCCCAATATCCCATGAGGTAAATTGACAGCTATCACCAAGACTACTGACACACTTACAAAATTAATGGTCTGAAAAACATTTATTTTTACTCTGCTTCGTTTTGGTTCTGCTGCACCACAATTTACGCCTCTATTAAAGTGAAACCAAAAACATGAATAGATACATGTTGAGTGTCAAAAGAAATACATGCTGAGTATCAAATATGTTCATACAGCTTAAGCTTTCTTAGGGTGACCAGGTGAACAAACAACACCTGTTGGAATTCCCTCTACTACAGAACTATTTAAATTTAGTAAAACTGTCAGGGGGAGTAAACTAGGTCATCCTGTAATTTCAGAAGTTGCTCAGGGATTTTGTGTTGATCAAAATATTTCACAACGTTTTTCAAGGACAGCAGTCATAGGTTCACATCTCAATCTGCCTCACACATTCTCTCAGAACAATACTTGCCATCTTTTCACCTACCTCAGATTTAAGGCACATCATCACCTTGAATCATTATTATTTTAAAAATCAGTAAAACTTCCCTATTCTTGTCCTCAATGCAAGGCTGCAATTCTATACCCACTTACCTGGTAGTGAGCCCCAGTGATATCAGTGGACTTGCTTCTTTCTCGATAGACATGCACAGGATTGCACACTAAATCTTAATTCTTCCTTATTATATTTGGAATCCATACTGACCAATATAGTATACTTTGACACACTGAGCCTATCAGATTTCCAAGAATGAGACATACATTCAGAACAAGGATCTTTTATCCTCCTTACCTTGCAGTTTTTTCAACACAGCTACTTCCATTTTCAGAACCTGCTTTGGTTGCTGAGCTGACTCGACTTTCAATGCAACATTGTCTCGGGTAAGCAAGTCCATTGCATCGTAAATTTCTCCAAACCCTCCACCTCCTATCTTTTTGAACTGTAATGAATAAAAATATTAGTTCTGCATTGTTTAAAAAACACAGAACTTTTGAATTAACAAGCCTAGACTATGAATATTATCTAGCCACTAAATCTGTTACTTTATTAGGTTACCTCTTTCCCTACTTAATGTAAGACTCATTTTAAATTTTATTTCTTAATCTATTAACTACTGTTAATGTGACAAGAAATCAAGCCTTTAGCACAGTGGTTCTCAAACTTTTTTCTCTGGCCCACACTTTCAGAATAAAAAATTGCTCGCACAACACCAATTTTTTATTGATAAGAAATACACTGGAAAACAAAAAGAAACAACTCCTATCATTGCTTGATTTATAACACGGAACACAACTCCTTTATAATATGATCATAGGGCATCCAGAAAGTATAAAACAATACAGCTACATAAGAACATAAATCATTCCCAAATTATAAACAAGTCTCTATCATATGTACCTTAAGTATGTATACAAACTCAATAAGAAGTGTGAGCTTGCCTTTGCCAAGTGATCTCATCTATTTTAGGCCTCATTTGAGACAAATAAACTCTCATTTCCTCATCAAGACAAATATATTTCATATTTAACAGAGCTGACACCTGCCATCCTCTTCTGTCACACCAGTGTGACTGCCACACCAGTTTGAGAACCACTGCTTTAGTGTCATTTGCCCAGTCCTGTGGAACACCATGCCAATATAAATTCAGTGGCTGCCTTCTTGTGCAAACTGTTAAATGCCTGCTGAAAACGTTTCTATTCCGCTGGGCCTATGCAAACTACTGATGTTTGTTTTTAATTTCTTTTGACTTATTTTTAAGTTTTTATAATTCTACTGTTTGCTGTTTTATATTGTTGCAAACCACTATGATATATATTTACAATACAGCGGTATATAAATATTTTTATAAATACAGGTAACAGGCATCTTATGTGAGGTTTTTGTTCCACAGGGCCACATTAAGGTAAAGATGAACAACAGCCAGCAGCACTTTTTAAAGTGCTTTTCAAGCTGAGGAAAACCACATCACTTACCTACAGCCACTATGCTCAATATTACAAACAAATAAACTCTCAGGATAGAGTTTCTTTATTTGACACTATCAAATGTGCCAGAAAAGACCAGCACACCAAAGTACAGGCAAGGAGACTGCTAACTTGTGTATTTATTTGCAAAAAAGGTGTCCAAGACGGGGAAATTTCTCAAATTATATATTACTATGCTTTCATATATTGCTAACAGGATGCAGTTTGTCACTATGTCTTCCTTTTACCCGGTTCCTTGCAATTTTATTTCTTTTTATTTAGTCTAGTGCTTTCATATATCTAGGGAGGAAATAAGAAGGATTTAATATACTTACCACTTTCCATCTTTCTTTGACCAATACTCCTACACTCAGGATATCTGGCTGTTCCCCTCCTCCACTCATTGCAATCTCCTGGGGTGGTGCAGCTGCTATGCAAAGCCTACGTCAATAGAGACCATCCAGCTCCCAAAGGTGGCTTCCATTTAAGCAGAGGCTATCAAGATAAACAGCAATACTTATCAAGTTCATGAGAACTTGATAATTAAAAAATGGCAAAATGAATACCTTCCTAACTCTATTGTAAGAAAGTTATTTTTCAATTTTACAATTCAGAACTGAAATAAAATTTCAAACGAAACAAAAATATTTTAAAATCTTTTACGTAGTGAAGTCAGCTTTCTGCTGTGTGTGTAAGTACGTTCCTTTAGAAATAAAAGTATCTGCAACAGATACCTTTTTAAAAGTTGTAAAGCTTTATGCCAGTTGAAGAGTGTTTATCCCTGCCTCAAATGAGCAACATTAGAATATAACATTAATTCTTCTCAATTCTTTCATACACATCAAACTAATACTTGTAACACCCCTGTGGATAATCCATTATCCTTTTAACACCCCATACTATATGCAGGAGGGTTAAGCTGAGAACCATTGACTTGTATAAGGCTAAAAAAATGAGATCATGGCCAAGGTTGTGTTCTCTACATAAACCCTTACCATATCAGCTTTCCTTTATTCTAACTCCTCTCTGACCTTCAACACCAAGTTATTTCATCAGAGATTGGTAAGAGTTTCTTATCCCCCGCCAGACCACACTCACTATGAAGTCCATTGAAATAGATTATTTTCTCCTTTAAGAAAGCTGTATTACAACTTATATAATAGGACAAAATATACCTTCTATCAATAATGGATCGTTAACAGCTACAGGAGAAACCACTATACAATTCAATGGAGAAAAATACTCACACTATTGACACAAAAATTATTGTAGGTGTCAGATACCCATTGATAGCAAATCTACAGCTCATGTGCAGCAACTTTTAATCTTGGAGGCAATTCACCAGTAGGGTCAGGTGCTTATATATAAACAAAGAGATCTTCCACAGCTTTAGTAGCTCACTAGGCCAATTGCTATTGACAGAGATATTGTGAGTGGGTAAGTTTGCACAGGAGTGCACTCCCATAGAAGGATGCAATATGCAGCTGGAAAAATTGGGAAAACTCAAGTAGCAACAACGGCCAGAAGTGTTTTTTACCAGCTTAAGCTGATACACCAACTGAGACTATCTGGAGAGCATGGATCCTGTCTCAGTTGCCCATGCACTAGCAGTATCCAGGCTGAACTACTATAAGGCACACTTTAAAGACTGAGGCAAAATGCGCCTAGCTATTGGTGACGGCAAGGCAAGTGAAACAAGCTTTGCACCTATATTATACCAAAGGAGGCCAAAGATGATGAGCCACAGAACAACCCCTATAATGGTTTCTCATATTCATCACAATTTTTTCAACACTTGAGCTCCAACTGTTGACTCAACTGTTTTGACAACCTCCTGCAGCTCCACAAACTGCAACCAAGCTGAAGGATGTTTCATTGGGTGGAGGATGTTTAGAAGAAGTTATAACAACAGACTGCATAATTTTCATATCCAAGCACAATTCAAAGTCTTGGTGTTGACCTTTAAAGTCCTAAACAGCTTCAGCCCTGTATACCTGAAGGAGCGTCTCCACCCCCATTGTTCAGCTTGGACAACGAGGTCCCCAGCTCCAAGGGCCTTCTGGCAGTTCCCTCATTGAGAGAAGTGAAGTTACAGGGAAACAGGCAGAGGGCCTTCTCAGTTATTGCATCCACCCTGTGGAACGCCTTTCTGTCAGATGTCAAAGAACTAAACAATTATATGACTTTTCGTAGACAGCCCTGTTTTGGGAAGCTTTTAATGTGTGACATTTTGTTCTTTTATATTTTGTTGGAAGCTGCCCAGAGTGGCTGCGGTAACCCAGTCAGATGTGTGGGGTATAAGAAATGAATTATTATTATTATTATTATTATTATTATTACTATATCTCCATAACATCTGAATCAGGAGAGGCCACACAGCTCCTGGACTGGTACCTGGACACAGTGGTGCCACAATGCTGGCAAAATGGAGGCACTGTGGGTGAGTGGTTCCCATGCTTCAATCTGAAGAATTGGCACTTTTATGTGTGCTGCACAATACTCATTCTGCAGCTCTAATAAATTTATCTTTTAGCATGGCATTACCTATACTACCTGCCTACTGACATCAGACAAATGCCTTCACTATACTCTTTTTGGAGCCTGCTTAAAACGTTTTTGTTTAGGTAGGCCTATGCAGACATATAGAAGCAAAGAATCGTAGAGTTGGAAGGGACCCTGAGAATCATCAAGTCCAACCCCCTGCGATGCAGGAATATGCAGCTGTCCCTTATGGGGATCAAACATGCAACCTTGGCATTATCAGCACCACACTCTAACCAACTGAGTTGATGTTGAAATGCATTCTTTTTTGATGTTAATTTTAATTATTTTTAAATGTTTTAACTGTTTTTATTGATAGTTTTACTATTTCTTGTGAACAACTTAGAGGCTTTACTAAAATCAAGTGGTATTTAAATTTTGTTAATAAAAAAATATATATTGTTATGAATGTGAATGGGCACTTGTATCGGGCTTATGGACTCCTCCTCCATGCACAAAGGGAGGAGACCAAAGCTTCTACTTGCTGTTCGCAACAAACTGTCAGTTCCCATTTCATATGAATATGAGGAACTGTGGCTTGTTCAAGCTATTGTTTGTGTTCCTGTGCTTTATTGCATGGAAGAGATATAGGAGGATTTCAAACCCTGTCGGCAAATATGCCTGAAAAGTGACTGTTGCCAGGGTCATGCTGGGATGTGTCATGATGATTTACACTGCTGAATGCAGGTTGGTGGATTTTTGACCACCTAAGTAGTGGAATGATGCCTTGGAGACATTCTGCCATCACTATGCAATGATTGGGGACAATCTACCATCACCATGCACTGATTGGTTGCTTCTATGCATGATTGATGAAACGGTGATGATGCACCAAGCTACAATTAGTATGTGTCAGCAATGTTGCCACAGATGCTGTGTGCATATGTACACAGAGTGTTACTACATTTTCTGTAGTTTAAAGCAATAAGCAATATCATTTTGCCTTTTCTCCTAAGCACATGTAGAATCCTGACTTCACTAAGCTAACATTCCACCAGTATTAAGGCACCACAGGTTTGTTTCTCCCATAACATATTGCTGAACTTTGGAGATTTGTTGTACAATAACTAATACAAGTTCAACATAATATTTCCATACATACTGCTTTGGAGCAGACAATTCTTAATGATTCTTGCTCACCCATAAACAAGAAACAAAAGAAATCCATGGTTTATATTTATGGAAACCACAGGCAGACTACCAATGCAAGAATCACAATATTTTTTCCCTCTCAGATTTAACTGACTTTGCTTGACCTCCATATAGAGGAGTGTGAAAGAACTACAGATACTATTTATAACCATGATTTCACATATCTGTAGCACCTACTGCATTTATGGACAACTATTTAAACTAACCATCTAATCAACTACCAGAAATGTTGCGACCATTGTTTTAGCATTCTCAATATTTAATGACAGGTGGGGAATAAAAATAAACAGTCTTACAAATGTGGAGATAGAAGAACAAGAAGCCCAAAAACAATAATCTGGGAAGCTATTAAGAAAAGGATCAATCCCTTTTAACCTATTAGGAAAGGAAACACTGCAGTCACCTTTACAAAACAGCAAAATCCCCTATTGAGCATTGTGTTATTTTGTTTAAGAATATTTATAGCCTGTCCTTCAACTTGATAGATCCCAGAACAGGGTACAAAATATAAATTTATAAAATCACATAGAATAAAAGGCAACCATAAAACCAATGTGAACAGTTTGAGCAGCTAAAACAATAGAGCAGGCAATCCTATCACCAAAAAATAATATACTAAAATTCTGGATGTGCCCGGGGAAAAGTCACTACATATCCCCCAACCATTTGTACACAGAGAAGAGCTCCTTGGAATATCTTAGCGCATGGACAGGATGGTATGGAGATAAGCTATGGAGATCTTTGGACCCCAAGCTGTTTATCACTTTATGGTAAACAGCACCAGCAATTTGAATACAGCCCAGAAGCATATAGGCAGGCAGTGTAACTCCCTCAGAATCAGTATGATGAGATTTCATTTGGATGAACTAGTCAACAATCTTACAGCATGTTCTGCATGAACTGCTGCTTCCATCTCAACTTCTTGGGCACCCCAACACAAAACACATTATAGTAACCAAAATAGGAGCTTACCAGGGCATGCATCACTATTGCAAAGCCATAGCCAATGAACTAATTGAAGCTGGAAAAGGACACGACACTTGGTGCCACTGAGGCCATATGGGCTCAGTTACGAAGCTGGATCTTGAAGTACCACCAGTCTACATACCTGACCCCTCAAGGAGAAGGCAAGCCCCTCTAAAGCAAGGTGTGCAGCCAGTTCCTGGATATAAGAACTACCTACCCACAACACCTCTTTATTATAGCAATTCCATTTTAGTTTACTGACTTTCATCCAGCCTATTGTTTTTGTTATATGACAGCTAATACAGACACTATATTTCAAGTAATTAATACTAAAGAATGTAGCCATCATCCAAAGATGTATCCAAGAGCTAGCTCATTCCCAATGAAAGTTCTGATGTTGCTCCCTTTGAACACAACATTCCTACACTTTATCACAAATGGCTTTTGGAAATCCAAGCCAAAAGCTTCCTTGGACATGAGGAACCAGTTAACAGTTCTTTTAATTCCAGTATTGCAGCATCAGTACTACTGCTATCTCCACACTGAATTTTCCATGAAGATATTATTTTAAAAACCCACACCACTCTTGAGAAGGAAGAGAGATTTCTAGTTTTGTAAACAAAATAGGTTCTCCTCAGTGAGCTGTAATGCCTTCCATATTACATCACAATTCATGCAGAATAAGTGTGGACATGCCTAGACCCCACTCACTTTTGCCAACAAGCACATCCATGTTGAATGACATTTCATTGCCCAATCAGGCAATGAAATCAGAGCCACATCAGGCCACTACAATCCTCACCACAATGCAACTCCTTCCACACCACAAGAAACTAATGCTACATACCAAGATGCAAAGGTGAATCATTAAGGCTATATGAAGTACAATTAATCTTAAATTTAGGAAAATATGCTTGGGTCTGCAGTTGCCCTTCCATGAATAGAAGAAAGGGCTCCTTCTGCTTATGGAAAGGCCTTTGCTCCAGCTGAGATTTCCACTTGCTGAAGGAGGAAGTCAACTCAACCTTTCCCCCACAGTCCCACACTTGTCCTCCACAGCAAGAAAGGCCTCCTCCAGTTCTACCAGCAAGTGTCTTATGAATTAAGTTCTGTTCATAAGATCTCAGGATTCAAACCAGAATTGGGGCAGAAGGAATCTTTTTACTGAAAAGTATTGACATATTCCATCCAGTGTACTATCCAAAAAAGAAACCCAACACACTAGCACTAGCAGATCATTTTGCAATACATGTTTCCAATAAACTTAAAGCAATGTAACATTTTTCAAATGTTACTGGCGGGGGGAGGGGGGGCAACATGTTTTTATGGCCCAAGTATCAAAGACTATTCAAATACAGTAATCATTAATTCTAATTAAAAACCAGCAATATATGAACACTGAAATTCTTCCAAAGCTATTTAAAAAACCCAATGTTCTGTCTCTTTAAGGGATGCTAGACACAGCTTATCCAACAGAAAAACAAGGAATAAATCAATGTACTGCATAGTTTATGTCAAGCCATTATAACACACCAGCTTTCTGTTTTGCAACTTGTAATAATTGTATTCTGCTGCCACCGCCACCACTCCTAAAATAAAACTCTAGGGCTGTGTTTTAGTAAGGTCATGTGAACCTTACACTTAGAACAGATCACATCAGTCAGATTAAAATTTTCATCAGCTGAGAGATACAGTCACAGACAAACTGGTGAACTGGAACACGGTAGTCATTCTGAACAAGTTATAATCTGTTTGTATTTAACCAAGCTTTTATCTGATAAAAATGTCTATTAAGTTCCAAAAATATATTCTTTGTATTTTACCAGCCTAGGAAGTGTTTTACGCTTTTCTTACTAAATAAGGATGCATTGTGCAACTTGTTTACTCCAAACTCAGTTCTTAAAAGTATGGAGATGTTTTCCCTAAGAAGACAGTGTCAAGGAGGTATAAGCTGCATCCTAACCTTCACAGCGGGTGGCGTGGTGGGTTAAACCACAGAGCCTAGGGCTTGCCGATCAGAAGGTCGGCGGTTCGAATCCCCGCGACGGGGTGAGCTCCCGTTGTTCGGTCCCAGCTCCTACCAACCTAGCAGTTTGAAAGCATGCCAGTGCAAGTAGATAAATAGGTACCACTCTGGCGGGAAGGTAAACGGCGTTTCCGTGCATTGCTCTGGTTCACCAGAAGCGGCTTAGTCATGCTGGCCACATGACCCAGAATTTGTACGCCGGCTCCCTTGGCCAATAAAGCGAGATGAGCACCGCAACCCCAGAGTCGTCCGCGACTGGACCTAATGGTCAAGGGTCCCTTTACCTTTAACCTTCACACCAACCCCATTTTGTGCATCTTTTTTTCTTGAATGGACGTGTTAGAAGACACACACAGTACATCCCACCCATTCAGATTCTGCAATAATCCCTTCCAGTACCTGCCCCCCACAAAACCTTAAAGCCCAGACAAGTAAAGCATCCCATCCCTTGTTTTCCACATGCTTTCTTCAGTCTAAAGGACTTCAAAGCTCCCTTGCTTTTTTGAACTCCAAGAGAACAAGTGATGCCAAATACTGTCTTTCATTATTATGATATTTTTTCTCTTTTGTCTTGGGACAAATCTGCATAAGTTTCTTCTACTTCCCATATGAGCACACAACCAAAGGAAGGCAAGATTACTATTCACAAGACTTGATCAGAGACCAGGGATCAGTTCCAAACATTTAAAGAAAGAATCCCACTGAAAATATTTTGAAACAGCTACTCACAGAAATTTATGTAAACTCAAGCCTTGGCACATCTCACTTATAATTTAAATATTGATTATCAGTGCCAAGAACGTTTGATATAGTGCAGGATATTCTGCACTAATATTAGACTCTCTTACTCTGGGTAAGTGCTATTCTGTCATATTCTTTACTTCACTGCTTTCACCATGAAAGTTTTCAACATTGTGGTCGGGCAAAAAAAAGTATTCTAGATGACACAATATATAAAATATACTGCAAAGGTTTTTGAAAGTTACGGGTCCTTTAAAATATTCACCTTCATTGTTGTGGTTCATTTGATACTTCTCTGCAAATGCATTTTCAATGACTGGTTTAAATACACCAGAAAAAAATTACTTTATCTCATTTTACACACCTTGGGCTGCAACCCTATGCACAGTTACCTGGGAGTATATCCAGTTTATCTCAGTGGGGCTTATTTCTGAACAAACAACAGCAATAAACACAAAAGGTCAAGACCACACTAAGCAAAAAATGTGAAATGTATATAATCTTTATAAGAATAACAATTGCTGGCTTAAAAACCATTTGGTATGTCCCAATCAGAGAAGCAAATTTAAAACATTACCTGCTATAGCCTAAAATAACTATTTCCTGACTAACCAACATCAGAGCAAGTTTATTTATTTCAAGAAATTTATAAACTGCTTGATTATTTTTTAAAATCTGAAGTCATCTACATATATTAGTCTTAAATAACTTGTATGGTAGGATATATCTGTGATATATCTTACTGTTACTAACAGAAAATGCTAGTCTCAAAGCATCTATATTTTAGCATCATTCTGAAACCCACCAATACTTGGTGCTATACTTAAGGTTAAGTATCATTTAACCATCCCTCTTGCTGTTTCATGGCAGAAAGACACAACATTGCCAACCCTCTCTAGCAGATTTTCTCTACACCCATTGCTGGCAGTTGGTCTCTTTAAAGATCTCTGGCAGAGGACCATACCTCTCTCTTTTAAAAGAAAGTCTATGTATCTGTATTCATATCTTCATGCAACTGCTGATAGCAGCGGCAATGTTTAGCCTCAGCCTCCATCTGCCTGTATGCCAGAGCATATTTGTATGACTAAAGGAAACACAGAAGCATCAACATTAGCAGATTTACAAGTCAAGCAGCCTAGTTTTCCCCTCGGGGAGCAATGAAAGAAAGGCAGGGAAAGCCAGACCTTTGCCGAAATAAGCGAAAGAGCTCTTTTCCCACCACCCCGCAGAGCCTATATTTTTGCAGCAGAACCGCTCTCAAACCGCGAGAGCATCACTTGCCATTTCATCGGTACCAGGCAGGAAACTTCTGCGATGCGCCTCACCGCTGCTGCCCAGTTACCAAACACCCACAACGAGCAGCTACCCCGCTCCCCAACCCTGCAAAGCGAACAGAGGGGGCCTTAGGAGAAGACACACCAGAAGTGGCCAAGCGCTGCCAGATCTTCTCCCATCCGAGGCTGGGAGATGATTCCGCCCCCCCTAATAATGCAGCATCCCCGCCCCCCTCCTGCCCCTGCACGGAAAACCGGGATAGATAACCGGCGGGACGAAATTACGGGTGATTTACTGATGCTCTGAAGGTTACCCTCCGTGTAGCCTCCTCCTCCCATGCCCAAAACCCGGCGCTGCTCCCTCCGCTATTAAGCTCTACCAGAGGCGCATCCCGCGAGGCCCCGCCAACCCCCCCCCCCGGCGCCTCCGAAGCAGCATCCCTCCCGCCGCCGCCCCCCCCCGACCAGGCGGGCCGGCGGCACTTGCGCACACCCCGCCGAAGCGGCCTTTCGCTGGCTAGGGGAGGCCAAAGGCCGGGTGACGACCGCGCTCCCCCACCCCATGCCCCGCTCGCCAGCCCCTGAGGGGAAGCGCCTACCTGGAACGCGGCGGCCGGCGCTCCTTCCCCCTCAGAGCGAGGCCGGCGCGGGGTTCACTCTTCCTCTCGAGGGCCTCCGAGGAGAGAAGTGGGGCTGAGGTGGGGGGGGGGGAGGCGATATTACCGGTTGTCCCGCGGCGCCCTCCGGTTCAGCCCGGCGCAGCCCAGCAGCAGGCTCCTGCCCATGGCTTGCGAGCAAGCGGCGCCGTCGTCGCCTCCGCCGCCGCTGTCTCTATGGTGACTGCGGGGCCGGGCCGGACTAGGCGCAGGGAGAGAGCCGCGAGGCGCAGGGACCGGCGGGCGGGGCAGCTAACGGAGGCGGCAGGCAACCCAGTCAGCGGCTCAGCGGCAGTCGCCGAACGGCCGTTGTCTCTGTCGCTGCAGGGTTAACCGCTTCGTCGCCAACTCTCCGCCGCCTCAGCTGCAGTCCCCGCAGGACGCGACTGGCCCGTCCCCCTCGCTCCTCGCTCGCTCCACCTTCGCAACAAGCCCCCTCCTTTTCCCTTGCCCTCCATCCAAGGGCCAGTGAGCCAGCTATTCCCTCAAGGGTGCCCGCCCACCCTTCCGACGCCTTGAAACGCTATTGGGTCGTTCGCGAGGAGCCCGTTGAGCAGATTGGACAGCGGACCCATCAGTCGCCCGGCGGGCGGCCGTCTCTTAGAAACGCCGCTGTGCTCACGTTTGCTTATGAGGCGAATCCAGCGAGTTTGTTCGTACTGCGCTGGTCTGAAGAGAATTCTGGGAATTGTAGTTTAGCCCGGCCTTTGTCGGAAAGGGTCTTTTAAGGATTTCCCTAATGGTAGCTTGCAGAGAGGTGGTGGTTGGTGGCTGCGTCATGGGGGCTTGACAGATGGCTGTCGATGTTCTCTTACAGGCTGGGGTTTCCTCTTTTTTGGAATATTAAAGTGCCGAAACGCGCGCTGGTAAAAGTCATTTGTTTTCCCGTAACAAAAAGGGAGATAATGTTTATTGCTATGAGCCACTCAGGATTAAGGCTGCAGAAGCCACTAAACTGGGAAGTATACTGAAAAATCAGATGTTTTTGGTGGGGTCTTTAGTAAAAAGTGCAATAATTGTTTATGCAGTATATCCAAAGTAAGCTGAGAAAACCCAAAGAGAAAAAACCTTGGGCTCAAGCTCATTAAAAAAAACCAGCATCAGTGTGCAATGGCAGTAGACACACACACACGGGTTGAAAAGATAACCGCCCCACATTCTTCCATAATTTTTGTGGAAGGAACTTTCTGTGTCCTAACATGGTCCACCAGCCCTCAGTTTCGAGATACAAGTTTGGGGAGCAAAAGGGGCTTCTGAACAAAACAGAACAGCTATGTTTCAAAAATAATGTGATTTTTAAAATGCCAATATGCACAACACATTTATACATAAATGTGCATAGAGGGCTTTTTAAAGTAGAAAAGCAACATGAGTCAAATCCCTGGGTTGTGTAGTGGTTAGAGTGCCATACCTGGGAAAAGGCCTGTGCAGAGATTTTCTGAGACCCCAGGAAAGGGGTTCAGTTATAAACTGAAACGGAAAAGGAGCTGGTCTCTGGGGGTCCCCCAGCCATCTTAGACCTCTGAGGCCTGGAGCAGGTGTACCAGGCTGCCTGGGAGACCAGGGTTTGTATGGGACCTTATTCACTGGCAGCAGAAGAGCATTTCTGCCATACCTGAAGCCTATACCACATTTTGCTAATTTGACATACTTTTTAAAAAGTTATATTCCAGCACATTACAATATACCGGTACCAACACTGATATATATTTAAAACGGGTGGGGGGCAGAATCTATATTTATAATTTTATAATTGTCCATTTATATTACAGAACTTAAGGGTGGTAGGAAACTGTTCCGCAATCTGCCCAGAATGGGATGATACCTCATTTAAGGTGATAATGCAGGAGGCCTCCATTGTTTAAAAGTACTAGGGTGCAACATAAAATAACAGAGAGGCATCATATTTCTCCCTATCATTTTACCATTTGATACCATACGTAAATGCATACTCTATGTAACTGTGGAGCTAAGCGTTTTCCCAGACAGAATTGTAATGCATTATACCCAAATTCATTTCGGAATAAAATAAAGCCTTGGGGAAATTCTTTGTCATTGCTTACCGCTTCCTGTAAAACAATATCTTGCATACTCTGCTTTGGAAGATTGTATTTAGGTCAAATAGCTTTGCTAGTAATTCTAGAGGTCAGAAAGCAGACTTAGGACTGATTGCCTTAAGTCATAGATTATCATTACACAGAACACTATTTCAAAATGTAATTTGTTGTTACTCTCGTTTATTTCCATATTTAAACTGGTAGCCAACAAAATTATTCCAGAACCTTACAGTTTAACCCATCAATAAGAATTTTGATCCCATGATTCAAAAAAATGGTATATAGTGTATACCATGTGCAGTGATGGATGCCACAAATTTCTAGTGCCGTAAGATATTACAAACCATGGTTTTTTACCATATATAAGGAAAGGAGAAAAGGTCAGGGAAGGTGAAAAAAGGAGATGCAATCCAGTAGTGTGGCAGTAAATTTTGAACTACATCCAACTACGTCCTAAAATCTAGCCAGCTGTGTTGGTTATTTCACATACATCCCTCCCAAGAGCAGCTGTATATCACATAAAACACTTTGTGGTCTTTTCTGATTAACAGTGGTATATAAATACTTAAAATAAATAATGGAACAGCTCTGCCAGCAGCATGCTCTGCTGGTGTTATTTGAGGTGTTATGTGTAGCTTATGTTCTGCTGGTGTAGCAGAGTTTCTACTGACTCCTATAGCCCCTCGTCAGAAGATCTAGATGAACGTTTACCAACCTAGTACCCTCCAGAGTTTGACCACAACTTCAAGCCAGCAGGGCCATGGAAGCTGTAGTCCCAAACATCTGGAGGGCACTAGATGGGTGAAGACTGATCAAGAGTATAGGCCTTTTGCCCTTAATAATTTTTGAGGGGGTAGGAGAGACTCTTATAGTCCAGGATAGCACTGTTCTCATTATACACTGACCCCTTGATTTAGTGTCTTGATTGATAAGTACTTAGCTATAAACTTGACAAGATCACTAGATATTCTTATATCATGCATGGTAAACCACTTAAGGTACCAGTTGTGCCAGCTCTGTTTAGGGAAGTTTTTAATGACTGATGTTTTAATGTATTTTTAATATTAAGTTGGAAGCTGGCGGGGTATAAATTATTATTATTATTATTATTATTATTATGTTTTTAGCTTTTTTCATTTATTTTGTTATGGTTATGTGTTGGTTTTAAATTATATTTTATATGTTATATGGATTATGTACAATACCCTGGAATCTTTTGATCAAGGATGGTTAAGAAATAGTTTAAATAAATAAGCTGAAACAAAATATTGTTTGAACTGTATGCTGCCTTCTCCCCCGCCCCCTGCATGCCTTCATTCTGTTGAGATTAGGGAGGGGTGGGCATTATTATTAATTATTAAATTTCTGTACTGTCCTTCAGGGTGGTTTACACTACATTAAGTGTCAAAAAGTTAACATCTCACTTAGAGTTGGGCCTATATGAGCATGGGAACTGTATATTAAGGCAATCTGACCCAACAGCTTGGTGCCTGCCCACCCCCATGTCATTGGACTCCAAATTCCATCCACCCTAGCCAGTGTTGCCAATGGGCAGGGATGAGGAGAGTTGTAGTTTAGCAACATCTGGAGGACACCAAGTTGTAGAAGGCTATATTAAGACATAAGATAAATGGTCATGAGTGCCACCACTGTAAGAAAGGTACAGATACATGTGAACAGAGGTATAAAGGAGATTCCAAAGGGATTTTCTTGATGGACTATGGGAGTTGAGAAAGTGGTTGTGGGAAGGGGAGCAGTAACCACAGAGGGGTAGAGCAAGTGAAAGGGAAAAGGTGTCTTGCCTTATGTCACAATATAGTGTAGGATAAATCTCCTTACTAATCATAGGCTTTAGCCTTTAATAAGACCTACTGAAACAAGAGTGAAATTCTACAGATATGAGACACCTAACCCATTATATCAAAGCATAGCTTATTGCAGGCATTATTCAGCATGGCAAGGTAAAATGACAAACTCCTTTCTTGTGTCATCTGGAAAAGTTTGGCTGTAGTGTACATTTATGTCACTAATATCAGAATCTGCAGCAATACAGTAATACATTGTTTTTTTAAAAAAAAATTGAAGTGAGGAAACAAATTCTCTCAACTTGGTTCAAATTTAAGACAGAATCCTAGGACAACATAGATAACAACTTTATAAGTGTGCTAAATTCTTAGCATAATTGAATCTAACTTGGCTTGGCCATGAGATCATCAGCTGACTATTTGTAAGATGGAACAAGCATTCACAGTATCATTATACCTACTCTGAGTAGTGTTTACTTTACAAAATGTCATAAAGCCATGGTGTCATCGCTTTATAAATGTTAAAAAGCTTTTGTCTGTCTTAAGGGACTCTATTTAAACCATGCAGTTGTGCAACATATTCTTAAACACAGCATAGCATAGCCTGCTTCATAATAACATCAATGTCCAGTTGGGAATGCTTTCTTAATTAATGTTCAAAAGACAGAAAGTCCCATATACATTAGCTAAAGACTAATAAATGTCTCAAGCGGCCAAAGAGGGCATGTAAACCAATAAAACAGACCTTGTCGAGTATTAATGCTGTGCTACAGGACTCATGTGTCTCCAGACTGAAAGAGGAAGGAAAATAAGTGCTGCAGATGGGAACAGAAGAGGGAGGAACAAAGAAAGAAAGTGGCCCCATTAATTATGCTAAGCCTTCAAGTCTCTTCCATTAAATGACAAAATTGTTCATTTGAAAGATTGCCTGGAAGATATGAACAAATACATTTTTAAAATGTAGTAAGAAATAGAATATAGTGGAAGAGAAGGACAATATAACTTTCATTTTTTTTAAAATGATATTTATTAAAGTTTCAAAGAGTACAAGAATTACACAAAAACAAAAAATAAAAATGCAAGAAAATACAAAATACAGAAAAAAGAATAAAGTTTTTAAGATATAACAAAGAAATGAAAAATAAAAAGAAACATACAAAATAAAAACAGTTAAAAACACGTTAATTTTCCAAAGCATATCTTCCTTACACTTATTTCCCCGGACCTCCTTGTACCTCCCTTTTTTGTATTCCAGTTCAGTTTGTTAGTTCAGCAAATCCTTACCATTAAGCTTTTACCCATTTATAAACCTTTTTTCGTATCTCTTAAAGCATTACAGCTGGAAACCACTTAGTTTCTATCCAACATCCTTCTAAGATTCCTTAATTTTACAATATTTCTGTAAATAGTCTTTAAATTTCTTCCAGTCTTCTTTCACCGACTCTTCTCCCTGGTCTCAGATTCTGCCAGTCATTTCTGCCAATTCCATGTAGTCAATCACCTTCATCTGCCATTCTTCCAGAGTGGGTAGATCTTGTGTCTTCCAATACTTTGCAATGAGTATTCTTGCTGCTGTTGTAGCATGAGAAGGACAATATAGCTTTCAGTTCAGTTTATACTGTAAATAATTTAGGACATTTATTTTACCATATTTATACTCATGTGTGTGTCCTAGGGCTCATCCAGACTTCCTTTTGTGCCATGTTTCTAGGCGCAGGTCTGGGCTTTAAAGCTCTGTGTCCAAGTGGTGGTATTTTTTGTCCTGGGAAAACTTGTGTTTTACCACCAAATTGGAGCAAACGCAGTGCAAAAGGAAGTAAAAGGCTTACAGGATAAGATGAGACAAAGTTAAGAGAAGAGTTTTGGAGAATATCTTAGAGAGTACAGTGGTACCTTGGGTTAAGGACTTAATTCGTTCTGGAGGTCCGTTCTTAACCTGAAACTGTTCTTAACCTGAAGCACCACTTTAGCTAATGGGGCCTCCTGCTGCCACCGTGCCGCCGGAGCATGATTTCTGTTCTCATCCTGAAGCAAAGTTCTTAACCCGAAGCACTATTTCTGGGTTAGCAGAGTCTGTAACCTGAAACTTATGTAACCTGAAGCGTATGTAACCTGAGGCACCACTGTATAATATTCAATTCAACCTGCAAGTGGAAGTAAACATGTGAGCAGCAAATAATATCAAACAAAGGAAGATTTGAGATAAAAATGGGTAGAAGATCAGGATATGCAGCTGATAGAATGCCATGGAGAGGTGGACTGGGAAGTCCTTAGGAAATGGATATGTGATGGCAGTGCTTTTTTCTGGGAGGACACTGGAGAACGCATACCCCTAAACATTTTGTGAATCTAAGTTTGGCCTCATTGAGGCGCAGTATTTCAATATGAGTAGGAAAATTGTGTGATGGACAGTATATGATGTATGTACAACAGTTATAAAAATGCATAAATACCGGTATGTGTTGTTGTTTTTAAGGATAAGCCACCATAGACAAAGAAAAATCCATGCAGGTGCCCAGAGCCTATTTAGATGTTACTTAGAATCATAAAATTGTAGGGTTTTAAGGGATCCCAAGCATCATCCAGCCCAACTCCTTCGATGCAGAAATCACAGCAAGGACTAAATGTTCTCCCAGTTAAGAGTATCAAATTGCAGTCGCTCATCCTACAAGAAAGCAGCAAGTTCCGGTTGTCATAGCCAGCATCAATTTATCTGAGTGCAGAATCTCTCCAATTTTCCCCCTGAAAGAATGGAGGAAGGGATGAAGTTTTGGTCTCCAAACAGCTGGAAACCCAAGCTTGGGAAACCCTGCTTTACGCTAATATTTGGATTGCAAGCCTTGCATTGCACATTATTTATTTTCCTAGTTTAGGCTGAAATCCTTATCCCATTTACTGGGAGTAAGCTCCACACACACACAACTGTAGTCTTTTAAGAATCTGTTATGTACTGAGTTGAATAGGATCCAAACGGCAGCAGTCTGATTGGTCCTAGAACAATAGGATCCAAAATGCAGCAGTCTGATTGGTCCTAGAACAATAGGATTCAGAATGCAGCAGTCTGATTGGTCCTAGAACAATGCAGAAGTATGATTGGTTGGCAGGATCCACCCAATCCTGCTCCAGATAGAAGTGAATCCGCAACCTGATTGGCTTACAGTAGAATTCCGGAATTAGCCAATCATGTGCAGCCCATTGTGTAAATAAAGCAGATACTGTGAGGGGACTTTCATTCATTCCTCCTCACCACTATGAGCTGAATAAAGAGCATGAAATCACTTTGCGACTCTGAGTACATTTCAGAATCTGTCAGAATTTGGCTCATATTTGTACAATTTATATATTAATTTGCTGTTTTATAAAAATTTTATTAATTTTATTAACATTTGCTGTCTTTTATTAAAGAAATAAAGCTTTCAGTGGCTACTAGCCATAATGGCTATGTTTGAGGCAATACACATCTGTATACCAGGTGCTGGGAATCCCAAGTGGACAGAGTACAGTTACATTTGGGTCCTGCTTGCAGGCTTCCCTTTAGATCCTCTGGTTGCCACTATGAGAACAGGATGTGGGACTAGATATGGACCTTTGCCCTGACCCATCAGTAATGTTCATTGGGCAAAGACTCCCCTACCCTCTCTCTGGTGTGTACAGCAAATGCAAATGTTACTTGAAATGCAGCTGTGTTGGGGGACAACCTTCCTGCGTTTAAAGACATTCTTTTACATTGCCAAAAAGAGGATGAAGGAGGAGAATGGAGGAGAGTATACAGTTAGGCCAGTAGTGATGTATGGAAGTGAGAGCTGGAGCATATAGAGACTGATCGCCGAAGAATTGATGCTTTTGAATTATGGTGCTGGAGGAGACTCTTGAGAGTCCCATGGACTGCAAGAAGATCAAACCTATCCATTCTTAAGGAAATCAGCCCTGAGTGCTCACTGGAAGGACAGATCATGAAGCTGAGGCTCCAATACTTTGGCCACCTCATGAGAAGCGAAGACTCCTGGAAAAGACCCTGATGTTGGGAAAGATGGAGGGCACAAGGAGAAGGGGACGACAGAGGACGAGATGGTTGGACAGTGTTCTTGAAGCTACCAGCATGAGTTTGACCAAACTGCGGGAGGCAGTGGAAGACAGAAGTGCCTGGTGTGCTCTGGTCCATGGGGTCACGAAGAGTCGGACACAACTAAACGACTAAACAACAACAACAACAATACAGTTAGATGACAGGTGAGAAGCAGGGAAGTAGAGACAAATGGCAGGGCTACCAGCAGAGAGAATTTGGACACTGGCTGGGGAAGAATTTTTAAAGTAAAACACACAAGTGGATATTCATGCCAATACTGCCATCTATTGTTTTGTGTCTTTCACTGCTAATAACGACAGGAGTCAACAAAACAGGAGTGCATACATTATTCATTATTTGCCTTAAGGCATTTGAAGCCCTTCCTAGCCCTGATTCCTGAGCGGGGTACTTTGGTAGACAAATGTTTCAAGTGCTATACAGAGTTAAGGTTTCTGAATGGTTTTCCAAAAGAAGGAATTGTCCCTTTCTGAATAGCAATCTGTCTAGATTCCTTTTGGTATAACTTGCAGGCTCCACTTCCATAACAGTGGTTTCCAGCAAAACGTCCGCCATTAGATTAGGCAACCCAAATGGAGAAGCAAACTGATACCCCCCTGCCAGTCTACAAATACAGCAAATTCATGCTTCTGAAAGAAAACACTGGGTGTTGTTTTGAGCCCCAGCTTTGTCTCCAGTCTCTCTACTTCACTATCCTTATTTATGCCCAGGTTTCGTTATTTTATTGGAGGCAAGCAAAGGCTACCAAGAGCACAAGCCGTAAAACTGGACTGGCTCCCTAATACACATGTGATGGTTTTGCCCAAAAATTATTCCCTTTGGAGGAAAAATAAAAGATCAAATGAGAGGACAAGGCAGGCATGTCTCCTTACCCTATGCAAAGGTGTTCACTTCAGCATGATGCTTTTGAGAAACAACTCATCAAACAGCAATATCTTATAACAAAGCACAGGAAACACACAATTTTTTGGATAATGTCATGTAACATGGATTAAAAACGCAGCACTGAAATCACAGTGAATGTACAGTAAACAGGAGAGTGAACACAACCTAACCTAAATCAAATTTTTCTTATGAGGGCTTTAATACAGAAATCTAAGGGCAGCCAATGAATTTGTGAAGACTGGTGGTGGTGGGGAAACAGGTGAAAGTGGGTGCCCTGAGAGCAACCACAGGGGTTTCAAATTACATTTGGTTAAGTGGCATGTTTTGCAGGGTTTAACATGAAGACATAAGTCTCCTACAATAAATCTCTTAGGCATGATTAGGGATGCAGCGGGGATTAGCAAGGGCTGGCACAGAGAAACCATTTTCTCTGTCTGTCCTCTCAAGTGCAGCACTGACGTGACAGGAGCCAAACCGTCCTGAGGCTGGGGGATTCAGCCTCCCCTCCAAAACTGGCCACACTGCACCAAGCGCCCACTCTGAGAAGATGCTCAGAGCACTAAAACAGGTTAGTGGCTTTATTCCCATCAACTTTTCGTTTTAAAGAAGCACATATGTGTGAAAAAAACCTTTTCTCTCTACCCTTACTAAATCTAATCTGTGCCTCATTGCTATATTGTATTTTGAAGCAGCCTTTTTATTTTCCGTTTTGCTGGTAAATTTGTGTCCGATGTAGCTCTGTCTAAAAGAAACTGTCTGGAGTGTGATTTAATATAGGAATAGGAGAAGGATGAAAATGCTGCAACATGTTGCATTTGGTACCGTTTTCGAAGTGCATGTTTAACGACAGGACAGTTCCTATGCATTTCAATGAAGCTCCTTCCATGATAAGTGCATATAGAATTGCAGTCTGGATGAGGAAAAGTATCAACAATGGAAAAAAGAAGAAGGTCCATATTGGTTGTACGCCAGCTTTGCTTTTTAAAAAAGAAAAATGTATTTCTCAGTTTTTCTTCATTAACAGAATATAGCTATTCCAGAGAGAGAGAGAAAGGAAAGGGATTTGTGATTATTGAACATAGGCGTAATAAAAAATATGAGGTTGCTAATACTCCCTAGCAATTTAAACATACAAGTGTTGCCTCCAAAGGGTCAATAGAAATAAAAGCTCAATTATTTCTATTTTCCAGGTAGAACCTAATGCGTGCAGCATAATCCTATGCATGTCTACTTGGAAGTAAGCCACATTTATTCAAGGGAACTTCCCAGGTGTGTATAGGATTACAGACTTAAAGGATAGCATTATATGCAGACAATATAGGACACTGCAATGTTGTTTTTGTTTAGTTTTTACTGCAAAGCGCAAACATTAGACTGCAAAGGCAATCTAATGTTTGTGCTTTGATTGTCTTCAAAAAGCCTTTAATTGTGATGCACTTGTAATCTATAAAGTTTATCTGGAATGATAAAAAGGCTAGTAATAGAAATACATTTATTTGAAGACCTATTCACAAAAGTGGATTTGCAATACTTAATGTTATCTAACTATGTACTCTCATACGGCACAAATTTGCAAACCATTTAGAGTACCTTTGCTCCTCCTGGGGAATCAAAATCATAGCTCTGCAGACAGCCATCCTTGAATAGTGAATTTATGGGATGAGGTTGTTTATTATCAGATTTACAAGCCCAATTTTATGTATCAGATTTACAATCCCAAACTTTAAGATTAATTTATAACAATATTTCCATTTAGGTCAATTGTTTCTAAGCAATAACTCAGGCATAAGGCAATTTTAGTGGTTTCCAAAAGTATAATCTGAATTATCTTTAAGAAACTATCGTGGTCTCTTCATATTACAAATATATATTACATGTCAACATGACTGAAAGACCTGCAGATCCAATGGGAACATTACACTTAGGACACCTTATGGGTAAAATAATTCATCTTCTTTAGGGCCTTATTCATGGGTGTAGCCAGGGGCCTGGGAGGGGCAGCTACCCCCTCCCAAATCAATAAAAATACATAGCTAACTGAGGTTCTGCCCCCCTAACAAAAGGCCCACCCCCTAACAAAAATCCTGGCTACGCCCATGGCCCTATTAGTGGTTTAGGCATGACATCCACAAGCTCTCCCCTCTCCTCTTCCTGCAGGGAGGAGGACCTCAGCAGCATTTACTTTCATCTCCCCCAAATTTTGGCTTTTTGTTTTGATCACACCAGGGATAATGGATTGTAACAAACTCTAGTCAGTTTCCAAAGAACCCAACTTCAATTCAATAGGCCAGCTGAAACTAACCAGGTTTTTTTTTAATATACAGTGGTACCTCAGGTTACATACCCTTCAGGTTACAGACACTTCAGGTTACAGTCTCCGCTAACCCAGAAATAGTACCTCGGGTTAAGAATTTTGCATCAGGATGAGAACAGAAATCGTGCTCCGGCGGCACGGCAACAACAGGAGGCCCCATTAGCTAAAGTCGTGCTTCAGGTTAAGAACAGTTTCAAGTTAAGAACAGACCTCCAGAACGAATTAAGTATATAACCAGAGGTACCACTGTACTTCAATCCCTTGTCCAGATGTCATGGCATGCCAAAATTCGGAGGAAATGACAGTAAACACTACTGAGGCGTCCTCCCACTTGTGCAGGAGGATGTGTGGATTGTGGGTCGCAGCTCACTCAGGTTCATTTTAGTTCATGCACACTACTCTAAATGATGGTTTGGTTTGATGTACAGACACAGCCTCTATGCACCAGCAATTACAAAGCGAAGTTCAGAATTACAAGCAGATGGTCCATAACTTCTGCCAAATTACCATGTTACCATGCCACTTCACCAAATTGTTATGAACCTGCCACTTCCCTGAGTGGCATGAAGTCTAGGAAGAGCACTACAGCGTTTAATTTCTTTGAATGAACTTACGGTGAGAGCTTACAGTGGCTTTGTAGTCTTTGTTTTGCTTACATATATACAAGCACTGGTAAAGGCGTCATGAGGAAAATCTGCCTGTGAAGCCTTGTTGCTGCAACCAAGAGTTCTCTATTTAGCCCACAGCTCTTCCTGGAAGATAAAATAGATGTACAAGCTAGCTGCAAAACCTTATGAACTGGCAAGGTGATGAATGGTCAGCTATTTACAAAGGTATTTCTCTTTCTCTGGAATGATAAACCATCAATAACTCTAGCACCAATAAAGGTTTTTCTTGCTCTACAAAACTGTCCCCTTAAATGATTCCCATCCGGATGATTACATAATACAGTATCTGTCATTAGTCAAAGCATAAGTGAAATGTTTGCCCACTTATACAAAATCATCGCTGTCTTGGGTACCTATTTGTTTTACATCAAGACAGCCACATCTTTAGCAGCCCGTTGTTTGTTTCTGCTTTCAAACACTTAAGGTGTCCTTCTGCAGCTCCTCATTATTTAGTCCATTTTCTACAGTGAGAGGAGCTTCACTCTCATGGGTAGGGGGCAATGATGTGAGGAATACTCAATAGGACTTCCTTCTGAGTAGATATGGTTAGGATTGTGATGGACAGTACCCAATGGCAATTGTAGAATAAACAGAAAGTGTCCATTATTTGGATAACTCCAGGGAAAGTGTTGTCAAAATAAAAAGTATTTAATCTTCATCTTCATCAATCACTTTACCTATGTATAGCCAAAGGCCTTTACGATGAACAGCAAGGCTTTCCTCTGCAATCTCTACTTGACAAACACAGTCATCGTTCCAGAGTGATAGATAATATTCGTTAAAATCCTTTTTAAAAAAAGGAAATGTAAAGAAACTATGCAACCATTACAGGTACCTATGACATCACAGCCCCTCTATTACTGCACTGATATTAATTTATGTATATGACAAGTCTGTGGAAAAACCCCAGCAATGGAAGCATTTCAGCAGTGCCTGTTTACAGTTTGGCCAAAACAGTTTGAATGGCAGTGCCGGATCTACAGATTTTGCCGTCTAGGGCAAAAGTCTGCACTGCTCTCCACCTCTCCCTAACTGAGAACTCTTGTAGAAAGCCACAGGTCCTGAAATATTCCTGCAGGAAGCCTTTTACAATGCTTATGGCTTGGTTGCACCTTAACAGGTTTTTAAGTACAGTAATGATCAGGGTGGATTTCCCCTCACTCTTTTAATCAAGTTAAGCAAATCTGCATCTAATACTTAGATGGGAGACTTCCAGGATAGCCTAACCCAAGCTTTCTTTGAAGAAAAGCTGGATAAAGTTTGGCAAATAATTAATTAACACATTGTCAATTAGCTCAGTATTGCCAATACAGACTGGGAGGAGATCTCCAGGGTTTTCTCCTAGCCCAACTTGGAGATACAAACTAGTTGTTCTCCCACTGAGCTAGGGTGCTTACCCCTTCTGAAACTTGCATTGACTTTGGGAAGAAATCCTGCAGTTGGCACCAATGATAAATTCCCAGTGCAACCACACCTCCAAATTAAATATTTTCTCCAGGGTGGCAGCAGAGAAGTAAAGGGCTAACTTCCCCCCTCCTCACCTGCTTGGTTATCCTTAATTATCTGTGGTTTATCAGATAATGGGGTGATTTTAATAGGAAAATGACAAAGGATCTTCTCCTCCACTCATAGGTCTCTAGTCTTGATCTGATTCAGGTCTCCTTCAAGTGATATTAACTTCTTTTTAA